CAGTGGTCTAAACTAAATGGCCTAACGCTGAATCCCTCAAAATGCCAGACTGTCGACTTCTCCTTTAGGCATAAACGAGATCTACAAACACTAGTAAGCACTCATGATGTCTGTAGAATTGAGGGGACTATAATTGAAACAAAGTCTAATGCAAAATACCTCGGATTAGTTATATCTTCCGACCTTACTTGGTCATCTCATATCCAAATGATTTCCAAGAAAGTGTTTCGTCTAACCTACTACATTAAGAAACTCAGACTAACTGGAGTCCCTCAACCTCTGCTTTCACAATTTGTCAACTCTCGTATCCTACCTATTCTACTTTACTGTTCCCCGTTAGTCTTTCCTGGGTTACTGAAAAAGGATTATACCATCCTGAGAAGGATGTTGAAGGTAGTTAGTAGGACTAGCGGTGTAAAACTCAGTCAGCTCGTCACAACATTAGTGGATAAGCATCTGAATACATGTGAGAAATGGTCTAAAACCATACTCTCTGACCCCCAACACCCCCTCTATTCCCAACTCTCTCCTTGCATCTCATCAGGTAGAACCAGAAATCAGTACAAAATAATATATGCTCGTACAACCAAGTATAGGAACTCAACGATACCATATTTGGCCCGTGTTCTAAGTGACAGAGACAATGTTAGGCGTGAAACCTATGACTTGCTTTGTTGTTAATAACATAATTTTGGCCCTTGTTATTTCCCCCTTACACTCTCTTATTTGTACTCTATAGTGAACAACCTTCTTAAACATACTTAGCTGCTTAAAATTATTATCATTGGCTTACATTTTTATTCTTTATTCTATTCCTTCTTTATACATCTACTGGGTCCGACTATATTATCACTATGATTATTAAAAATTGTCCCGTCATTAACCATCATGTAACATTAGTTTTGTGGTTGTTCTTTGTTCGGCACTATTTAACTGACAATCTTGTTTGTTATTGCCACTATCACCATCTTAAAAAATTTTGTATTATGCATGATTCCTCACACTACCACTACAAACAACCGCATTAGTGCTGACAATAAAAAAAACACAACCTGAAATGTTTATCTTATGATTGCTTAGTGTTGTTCAATCAAATTAACTGATCATCTTGGCTATAAACATTTTTTTAAGAACATCTCATAATTTCCCGTATGATTATAGCTGTTACTGTTCACCACGCATACACATATCGTAGCTTCCACTAACCAATACTGAAATATTTTTTCATTATTTGTGTTTATCTTCCTTTTTACTTGGTATTTTTTATTGCATTTTTTTGTTATTTCTGTGTTTCTTTTTGGTTTTTTTGTTGTTATTGTTTTTTTTTGTTTATTTTTTTTTTTTTTTAATATTTTTTTTATAATACTCCTTTTAAATGCATGATGAAATTAGATGCAATATTGTAGATATGTGCTGAAAATTCCACACTGTACCACAAGTACTGTTTCTGGAATAAAGCGAAATTGTTATTGTTATTGTTATTCGAATATCTGCTCCTATTAGTATTTCAAAGATAGCCTCATATACTCTATACTCACAAATTACGCAAGGGCTAATATTCGGTCTTATCAAGTAGAATAAACAAACGAATACAAGGAATACATTTATTAATGAATTAACATGTAATACAAAATCGAAACAGAGCAGGTATCTTTTTCTTTATCACCCAAATCCATGAATTCCCGAAAGTAGATATTATCTGAAAAGAACATAAGAATTATACAGATGTAGACATTGTTCTCAGTGTAAACACAATAATTAACCATTAAATATGTTAAAAAGAAATAATTACTTGATTTATAAATTATGTAAGTCAACAGTTCAATAATATAAAATCCATATTGCATCTGCCTGCAACATCAAGTTTATGCATAAAAAAGGAATTACTTTGCGAATATAATTTCTAAGTATTTCTGCAGATTTTTCTTAAGAAATACTATGGAGCACCTTTGTGCATTACGAAAATTAAACAACTACTCGTCGAAAAGGTCCAGATCATGACTCCTCTGGGAAGCAGTGACCATGCAGTCATAGGTTTCGATCTTGTCCTCCGTGAGCGTTTGCAATGGGATGTTACGCGACCATGTCTGTGCTACAGCAAGGCTGACTATGCTGAAATGCGGAGGCTCTTGTCCGACGCAGACTGGCCCTTAGCATGGGACGACCTATCTGTGGATGAACACTGGGAAGTGGTAAAAAAGATTATCCATACAGCAATCTCGGATACCGTCCCTTTAGTCACAACACAGCCTAAGAGAAAGACGTCATGGTTGAAGAGAGGCACGCAACGTATTCTGCAAGCAAAGCGGAAGGCTTGGTTTACGTGGCGTGTATCTAAGAGTCAGACCGACCATGATGCATACCTCGAACTCAGGAACCGGTGTAATGCAAGAGTCAGGAGGGACAGAAGGTCATTCCAGGCTAACCTTGCTAAAAAACTCCTATCAAACCCTAAAAACTTGTACCGATTCATGTCGGAAAGAAAACCGACAAACCAAGGGGCATGCGCCTTAGTAGGCCCAAACGGTCAATATCTCACTAGTCTGGAGATGGCTGAAACATTCAGTTCAGCCTTCGCTAAACAGCTAAACAGCAATGTGGATATTACAGTTACGGACCAAAATGGTGGCACCACTATTTCAGAGGAGGAAGACCTAGCGACTACTCCCCAAATAAACCCCGCAATAGTACTAAGGAAGCTACAGCGACTCATACCTGGGAAGTCCCCAGGTTGTGATGACATCAGGCCATCTGTTCTGAAACAGTGCGCCGAGGCTCTCTGTAGACCCCTGTGCGACTTGTTCCAACACTCAATGGATTCGGGGACCCTGCCAAGGGAGTGGAAAAGAGCCATCCTTTCTCCAATCTTCAAGGGTGGGGACAGGCAAAACGCTGCTAGCTATAGACCAGTAGCTCTACTCCCAGTGGTATCAAAAGTACTGGAAAGTATTATTGACGACCACATCAGGGAATATTTCGATAGGACTAATATACTACATGAAGCCCAACATGGTTTCAGAAAAGGCAGATCCTGCGTCACTAACCTACTGTCAGCTTGGGACGACTGGACATCATGCTGGGACTTGAACGTACCAGTCCATGTGGTCTTCCTAGACTTTGAGAAGGCATTTGACACTGTTCACCATGACCTTCTCCTACATAAAATAAGCCAGGCAGGCATAGGTGAGCCACTTCTGTCATGGTTGAAGGACTACCTAGCCGACAGGCAATTTTGCACTAAGGTTAACCGAGTCCGATCATCTTGGCACAGATCGTCATCAGGAGTGTCGCAGGGTTCTATCCTAGGACCACTGATGTTTTTGATTTTCATCAATGATCTACCACGCCGTCTGAGCTGCCCGACTCTCCTGTACGCTGACGACGTAAAAATATGGAGGGCGATAAAGTGTCCGGAGGACTCAGATAGGCTACAGGAAGACCTAAACCTTCTGGAAGACTGGGCGGTGGCCAGTGGCATGACTTTCAACTTGAAAAAGTGCAAAGTAGTGAAGTTGCGCACCTGTAGACTGCAGAATGCAAGTTACACCCTGTGCAATGAAAGCTTGTCCTGCACAACGTCGGAACGCGACTTAGGTCTAGTTCTAACGGAAAAAATGGACACAAGCGTAAATTACACAGGGGATGTAGCGAGGGCATATGCGGTCATACACTTTACGCATAGACAGTTAGGTGCACTCACTCCTGAGCTCTTTCTAATGTTGTACAAAACATACGTCAGGCCACACCTTGAGGTGCATAATATTATTGCACCCCCAATGCTGAGAAGAGATGCCAACCTCTTGGAAAGAGTCCAACGACGGGCAACAAAAGGAGTGGTTGGTCTCCGAAACAAACCATATGATGAAAGGCTGAAGAAATTAGGCCTGTTCACACTTAGTTACCGTCGGCTTAGGGGGGATTTGATTACTGCCTACAAAATAACAAATGACCAGAATCACCCAAACAAAGGTGTTCTGCCATTGAGTAGGTATAGGCTTCCACGTGGAAATCCCAGAAGGATAGCTCACCAGAGGGCAAGGACCCGGGTGCGCTCCCACTTCTTTTCACTGCGGGTTTGTCGTCCCTGGAATTCCTTACCGGCAGATGTAGCTATGGCACCGTCTTTGGACGCCTTTAAGCGAAGGCTGGACAACCATGCAGCGATACAAGGACTGCATCCAAATGGCCTATCTCCTTAAAATCGCATTTACCAATCAGGGTAGATAATTAAACTCGTCATTTTACTTCTTTACATTCTCTCCCGTCTTACTCTCCTGACAACTTATTAATATTATAATTACTATTATTATTATTACTATTACCGATATATATATTATTCTTCAAACTTAATGAGCTGACTGTTGTTACGTTTCCTATTTTCGTTTCTGTCTCTTAGTCTGAATAGCTTCACTAATTATATCTATTATTATTATTATTACTATTATTATTATTACTATCTCTTTTCTCTTGTCGACAATACCGAAGGACTAACTGGCGAAAGGATCAACTCCAATCACAGTAGTAACAGTCTTAACATACCTCATACTACAAACCACATATAATTAATCCCAGCACTACTCCCTTTGGAGTCAACCAAAGCTACGACAGTCGAGTGGCGGGACAAGCTACGCAGAAGTTTACCGAAGATCAAGAACCTATACCTCACAATCAAGAAGCGAGCACAAAGAAATCAAATTGGTTTATACTAGCTCGTAAAAACGATATTGGATATTGGATGGAAGTCACAGCATAAGTACTTACGTTTGCAGCACATGATGTGTAAACAACATTCTTCGTCACCGAGACTTACGACTATCACTTTTCTTTTCCACAACACAAGCACTGTCAATAAAATATTTTCAGATTTTCTCAAACCACTGTAGTTGAGTTCATGAGCCATATGTTAGCTAATTTAGAACTCAATCTTCCACTACCCGAAGTTTCATATCACCTTGCGCAATAATTCTCAAATGATACTTCTTTGATTCAAAATATGGAGATTCAGATATTGTTAGCTCCTTCAAACAGTAGAGATGATCTATTCTCCTTCATGAAGTTTCTTGTGTTTAAATTGTTAGCAACCTTGGCACATATTTAAATGAAGGTCAAGCGTGTTAAGAATTATAGAAAAACAATCGACATTTATGACGCACATTTCGGTCTTGAGACTAATCCACTTGAAATATTAGTCGATAGCACTTTTGCTCGTCAGGCCCTAGTTCACCAACTCCACATAGAACAACAATTTCAATGCACTTTATCTTGTGAATTTAGTCTTGTTACAACATCTTGTGTTGTTTCAGAGTGTGAAAGTCTGGGCCAGTTATTCCATGGAGCACTATGTATCCTCAAGGGATATAAAGTTCTGAAATGTACACACAAAATCAATCCTAATAATTCCGCATTTTCTTGCATAAAAAAGAGAATTCGAACAGCTGGATCCAAAAAGTGGTCTGAATCAAACCCCAAGAAGCGTAGTTTGTTGTTTGCCGTGGCTACCAATGATGAATCTCTTCAGCATCATGCTCGAGCAATTCCTGGAATGCCGATATTTTACGTTGCACACAGACGGATTAATATGGAAAGTATGCCTGAAGAAGTTTCGTTGCTTTTAAAAGAGAAGGCAACGAAGGCACTTGGTTTGACCTGCGCAGAGGTGAGTTTTTTAGTTTAAAGTGTGGTTTGTTTTAATTCTCACGTTTCGCTTCAAACAATAAATAAGATTATGACGTAATGTTGTCAAAATACAATTGCTACTAAGATGTCAATCGTACTAATAAGTCTGGTCTATAAGGGACTTTATAGGGAGCACGGTAACAGAGCAATTTTTAGAGTAAATGTCCAAGTTAATGAAATGATGTTGTAACCGTATATAATAAAAAATACAGTTAACGAGTTTTATATATTAAGGGTTACTTGGTAAAAAAGTCAAAGTCCGCTGCTACAAATTATTAATATAATACACAGAAGCGTTCATTTCTGGAGTCTTTTCTATGAGTGAAAGCTGTGCACCAGTTTTAGAATAGTCTTCGAATGAGATTGAGAGGTTTGGGCAAAATTCAAAGGATACGACATGAAGAAAATAAAAGACGGATTCAGCGAAGAAAATTTTCTTTATCGACGAAATCATCTTCAGAGGCTGTACAGTCGTATTTATACTTAGAAAGGGTTTAAGGGGATATAAGTTGGTGTAAGGAAATATTTGAGCCCTTAAAACAATAAAGGTCGTTTGGGGAAACCAAAATTCTTCTGTACTTCTCCTAAAAATTTTTTTTTTTTTTTTTTTATTATTTTTTTTTTTCATAATTTTTTTGGATACGACATGGTTAATAGTGAAGCAAGTAAACAGTATGGACCAGTGAGAAGACGAAGCGTCGAGCAGCACACTATTTTAGATTTTACTTCGAAGCTATGTATATTTTACAATGAGTCGTTTTAAAATCTAACAAAGAAAAAACTGCACAATCATATTGTTCCAGACTCCACAAGGCTTGTAACCGTGCGTGTCTGTCTGATTGTCTCTCAGACTTTACAAAGAACAGTAAGCGTGACTCTTGGTTACATCGAAACACCATTGAAAATCTTTTCCGGAAAATAAATGTTGAACTATTTTGGAGTTTTTAAAGTTCCTTCAACCTTTGGTTGCTCAGTTATATATCAATGGCATATCTTGCTTGTAGTATAACTGTTGGGCAGATGAGGTTTGTTCGTTGTTATCGAAAGTATCTTGAGTATTCTAGAGTTCGTCGGTTAATCACTCGATTTCAAAGCATGCTCTGTTCGCAAAGAAAAGTGACATCCTAGGAAATTGAGCTGAGTAAAATTGAACACGTGTTTATTTATCTTCAAGATAGATGTATACTTCACTGAAGTTGGAAAGTAAAAGAAGACAAGTTTTCTCGGAATTTGAATAGTAATATCACAAATAATGAAGTATTATGCTAAATCTACTACTAGACCTTTGTTTAGATCAGACAAGCTTTTCGTTACCCGTGGAGTTATGATTTATGGATATACTGACGTGATAACCTCACTAGTTAGTCTTGATTCGTTTATTCATTGCGTGATTTCATAAGGTCACACAACCATTCATATTCGTTTATTTGACTTAATTGCCTAAGATTTTGTAAATATCACATACCATGCATTTTGTCTAGTATAAGTTGTTGTCATTTAGGTCGTTGTTTTTCCCAGTCTGACTTTTGTGTCTATCTCAGTGTAAGGGATATCTTCAAGTGATCAATTAGTTGTAGTGTCGTGTCAGGGAGCATATTCTAGTCCACTTTAACGAATGCACAACCTCGGTAACACTCCATCATAACAAACTTTGAACATCAAAAAGGTGATAAGTGACTGGATTATTACCGAGCAGTAAATAACCATCAATCCCTGCCCGACGCACCTCAAAGCCTGGTCGTTAGTTAGCTTGAAAATGAGGAAATGTTGAAAGTAACATTAACAACTTCACCGTGTAGAAAGAGCGCCTCTTGGAAACTTGGAAAAGACTGAAGCCCTACTTTCCATTGGGGAAGCACCAAGGACTTCATGCATTAGTCATTTCATGTTACGATTTTTGATTTTACCATGTTCAATCGATCCCCCCATGTCATTAAGCATTGTATGCAATTATTCGTTACTTAAATCCATCAAAACCTAGTTCAGAAAGTTGAAAATCAAGTAGGCAAAATAAACATACATAAGAAAGTACCAGGATGTCACTTAATTTGTTTCCAAAGGGCATCGCAGACGAACTAAATATGTTTTCAAATAAATAGGACGGAAACAGTGTTAAAATAGTACCTGAGACTGCTGTTTAGCAGACCAAGTTGCCAAACCTAATATTCACGCATCAAGAAAGTGATAAAATGAGGATCGGATAAATGAAAACAATACAGCTAAACGTAAAATAAACCGAATCATCGATGTAGAATTTTGCACAAAAGTACATGAGTCCGAATCGCAATTCTTATGAAAAGTAAAGAAATGAATTATAATGGAAATCCAGTAGACGAAGTGTATGAAAGAGAGGTTGGAGGAAGACTAAGTGAGGAGTTTCGTAATCTGAGAGATGATTAGAAGTTAATTGATCTGTATTGCTGCAGAAAATTTTTGAGCCATCTAGGCAAGTGTCTAACGACTGATTCTGAAGACTTCGAAGACCCAACCAAACAGTTACGGCTCAAACCAATAGTTAGAAACTTCAGAGATTGGCGTCATGTTTTCGTCTGATCATCGCTAAATCTTTTTCGATTTAATTCTGCTCAACAAGGTAGGCAGCGCCTCGACATGTTCGTCGCTATCATTTGCATACTTCAGATTACCGAGATTCTACCCTAGCAATAGGTTAATCTCTGATGTATTTAAGTCGACACACGCCACCACCAGTAGTAGATCTATAATAAGATTAAATAGAATTGTTCATATAGAACGTGTCTGAGGAACACTACCGACTGTTGTCACTTCGATTGACAACTCTTTATAAGCTTTTACACGACTACATGAGTTCCAGCGTTCTGATTAATACACTATGCTTTCTTAGGATTCCAGTCGCAGCAAAACATTATGGTTGACGGAGTCAAACGCCGCCTTCAGAAATATGGCAAGTTTTGGACGCCGGTAAGTATACCTATGTCCCCGAACCTGTCGATCGCTGGAGATATGATTAACATATTCTAAACCTAACATACTCTTTGACTATATAACCTATGTTAGTCAATCCGACTCACAGAACAATTCGTTTTCCCATAAACTGAGATGAACTACTTACACCAGCCCGTTAAAAATATTTCAGGATCCCATACACTAGCTAATGCTTCAGTCAATCTGGTCAGTAGTTCATCGCCACAATCCTTAAGTTTTTTTATATAACACGTATCCTCAGTGTGCATTCATCTTCATGGCTATTCACTGATTGGTTTGTTTCTTGGTGAAGGTCATCTTTACGTAAGACGTCATTGGTAATCTCGAAGACAGTAGTCCTTATATGGATCCAGGTAAGCTATCTTCCAATTCAACTCACTGTCAGTTACGTGTATTATTTATTTTCAGAGCACTACAATCAAACAACTAGGAGACAGGTTTGGCTTCTCCGAAGTAAAACCTATACGCAAAAAGAAAACTAAAGGACCCAATCCGCTATCTTGCAAACGAAAAGCACGTGAGACACCAGCCATAATTTTGTCGAAAACTAAACGAAAGCGTAAAAGGAAGCGTATCAAGGTAACATGGGCAATGAAACAAGCTATAGAACAACTCAAATCCAGAGTGAATGACTGAGATCACTTTTCATACAATTTTGCTCTTACAGAATACACACTTCCCAATACCTTATCTTTATTCTCTTTGGGCCCGATGATATATATATATATATATATATATATGCTGAACAACGTCAGGTGTAACACAATAAGGCATGGTAAATTAACAAAGTTTATTTCTGACAAATATAAAATAACTATACAATAATGTACAATTTAAATACATATTCAAAATCCTATGTACATCGGGATTTCGGCCATTGGTGTGTTTTAGTGAGAGATCGTAGTTTTAGGATACGTCAGATTGGACGCTACGCGTTGCAACTTAATGATCGGAGCTTTGGCACTGGGGACGTGATTGGGAATCAGTCGCACAGCGTCCCCAATCCGAATAGCATTAGGTGAAGTGTGTATTGAAGGTTGAGTGCTGGGTGAATGAACGATATCATTGTTTACAAAATTATTTTCTGGAGTAGTCAAACGTGTAACAGGAGTTGTCTTGTTTGTGGTACAGTTAATCATTCTTATCACAGGGATGCTTGTCCCACATCTTATACCATTGGCTGGTGATCTAGGAAGTTGAGTAAATTGCTTTGCATTTGCCGTATTTTGCAACCCTACATTGGGTGATGCATTCAATGTGCTTGGGATTTTAGTAGCTGTTTTCAATAGTACTGTTTCTGTAGGGTGGACGGGAGTCGAGTCGTTCAACAAAGACGACCGACATATTATTGTGGATTGAGCTGTTAATCGAGGTCGAATTTGACGTGCTTCATATAACTTGGGGGTTTGGGGAATACTACCAGAGGGCTTGTGCAACTGAGATACTATGCGCTCAAACTGCGGTGGTGGTACAAGTGGATGAGTGAACTGTTGTTGATATACCTCACCTGCAAGAAACCCGATAATAATAAAAATCGTTTTTTAAATGTTGGTAAAACAATGTTTTTTATATACTGTAATAATAACGGGAATTATTTAGTAACTTGGTGTATACATGGCGACTAATACGCCTTGAAGTTTCCTAGGTAAGGTAATCCTACTTTGATGTTGAAAAGGTAAGTAGAGGAGAATAAGCGTATTCTGTAGGATTACATAGAATAAACTTTCCACTTAGCTGAAGTAATAGCATGTTCAACATTAATGTGTTGTGTGAAATTAGTACTTTGTCAAAAATGTTAAATAATATTACCAGTTGTTTGAGAGAAAGGGAAGTAACTACCCATTCAGTAGAACTGAATTCCTAAGAATTTGACTGATCTTGTCATTAATATGTTGAGTGAGAAACGACGAGTTCAAGATAAAACGCTTTTAAATCCACTGGGATTTGTGACTTAAAACAAGACATATGATGAAAGTCAACAAAACTCGATATCTTAGAAACAATAGGGACGCTTACCTGAGGGCATTTTTATTTGGCGTGTGATCACGAATACAGGTTGACCCGTTGGGACAAACAATTGTCTCGGTGTGAATGTTAAATGATTTCCTTCAGGAAAAGTTCGAATACGATATGTAGGCTCTGGGGGAAGTCGAAGAGATGGGGAAGTTGGTTCTACCAAACGAAAAGGTATCTCGGGTGGGGTTTGGTAATTGTTATGTACAAACGAATTAGTAGTAGTAGCTGACCCACTACTCCCTGTTGTACATGATGTTTTGGGAATCTAAACAACAACAAAAAATATCACAGTGTGGTTTAAACGTAAACCAAACCAATGGGACAAAACCTATAGACAACGCTTTTTGTGCTAGTTTTCAACAGCTCTAACAGTTTGCTCAGAAGTGTGCTTAAAAATCACCAATGTAGGTGAGAAAAATGCGAACAGACTGTCTTTTATGTTCACAAGAAGATCTCTGAAACAATCATTGATGATACCCAGTAAGATTGAAATGTTACTTTTGCATAGCAAAGGCACCTATGGAGTAACAATGACAGAAAACTTTCAAGTGTTTGTTTGTAGGGATTTGATTGGTTTCAGGACTTCATCATGAGCTGACATTAGTTAGAGAACCATTGGGAAACCTGGGAGTACTGGACAGCTGTTTCGTCCTAGTTTGGGACCCTTCATAAGTACGCACCCACCTGGATTCGAACCCAGGACCTTCCTGTTACAAGGGGAGCTCGTATACCATTAAGCCACTGGGATCCGATCCAATGGTCCTTGAATTCTAACTTCTGCCAATTCACGACATAGCGCGACCGCTAGCTAATGTCTTCGGGGAGTATTTGTCCTCACACCCGACCCGCTGCACCCTGCAGAAAACTATGTATAGTAAGGTAAAAATATGACGCAGCTGAAAAATATATTACACACACCTATCTACTTAAACGCTTTACGTAAGCTGGAGCTAAGTCCACCTTTCGGTTGGAGGAAACATATTTGCCAACAGGTCTTATTATCTTGGATAAGTTTTCCTCCAACATATCTTAACTTTTACCAGCATATACATTACTTCCTATTCTTGTTTCCCATATGTAATATCTCCTCGTTTTATCGCTCTATAAAATAGGGAAGATAAGAAACGGTGGTAAAGGGTACTTTTTTATTTTACATTTATCGTAAACACCAAACCCTACTAAGTAGTGAGTTGATTGAATATTCCTAAACGTAATGTTCAACTGTATAAATATCTAGACCATAGATGTTACAAGTTTTCTGTAGTAATTTGAGTGTCAGGTCTGCTTGAAAAATCAGCAACTTTACAATAATGGTTATGTAATAAAAGATATATATCCACACTAATATTATTAAGGCTTATATATTCGCTTACGGGTAACTCATCAAAACTGTCAGTCTCCACAATTTCTTCATGTACAACATTTTCTGGGTTGCAGTGGTTGTCAGAAATATCGGAATTCCTTGTATCGAAACGGAAGGCTTTATTTGGAACACCAAAATCGACATTGAAACTATCTCTTCGCTTATGAGACATTGTACATCCCAGACCCTGTCGGGAAGGATGCCAAACATCGTCTGTCATTGTCTGCTCTGACCCACAAGACCCAGAGTACTGCTCGCTCTCACCATCTGGTTGGTGTGCATAATACGGTTGATATTCTTTTCCTACATCATGTGAGGAGACACTTCCTTTATTCCACATATTGGATTTAGCATTATGATTGGTATCCTGAAGAACATTCGAGCTCTGAAGTCTTTTATTGACGACCACAGGGGGGAAATGCATTCTTTCCACAAACTCGTCCATTCCAGTTTTGTTCTTTGTGGTCATATCATCGTGTGGCAGATGTATCTTAGACTTGTTTCCTTTAACAAAGTGATTACTTGTGTCTGATCCATCTTGATTTTCACAAACCATTTTAACCTGAAATGAAGTGCAGTTGAAATAAAGTTATCGTTTGAATTATACTGACATACTCTATATTACTTTCTACTTCACACTAAAATAATAGTTTACGAAGTATCTTAAGCGTTTGTTAGCCTTCGGAACACTATATGACATGAAAATGTATCACTGAGAAAAAAAAGAGAAATAAGAAAAGATATTTCTATAATTACACTGCACTTGTGAAGACTATATACTCACATTTGTTGACTGCTTTTTCTCTTCGAATCTTGGTCGCTTATGCATGTTAGAGATCTTGGATAATTTCCTTGATTCTGAATTAATTGAATTATTTGTGTGTGATTTTGTGACTTTGTGCAATGCTTTACTTGAATCGTAAGTTCGCTTTCCAGAGTATTTCGAACGTCCACTTGCAAATATCTGTCCAGAATCTAAAATTCCAAGTGAAGTATCTATTTCACTAGCTTCCTCCATTCGGATTCTTTCCAAACGTTCAAGTTCTGCAAGTTGACTTGAAGGGTCGTATTTCCCACAACAGTAAAACATATCATCCTCTTCTAATTCTGCTCGTTCTTCATCTGCTTCATGTAAAGCCTTTAACTTTTCTAGTCGCCAAAGTCTTTCAGATTCCATTCGTTCTGCCTAAAAGGAGAAATAAATACTTTATATTCACCACCGAACGTGACCACAATATAATGTTAAACACTAGGCACTTTATCTTACCTTTTGAGAGTTTTTACTAATTACTCCCAAGCATTTAGTACTAGTTGACAGATCAATGTAACAATCTGCTTAGGCTAAAACACTATGTGACAGCAAAATGCAGGAATTAAGCTAAGAAGGCAGTGACACAAGAAGTTCGTAGTCTGAAAACTGTGAGAATGATAAGGAATCAATGCTTCACTATGAACCACTTTCAGGAATCCGATTGATTTGTCTTCGCCTGATATCTTCAACATTTTTCTGAATTTTTAAACTTATTTTTGATGCAGAAAACGTTGCTCGCATAACACAAATTCGAGTAACTTAAAGTGATGACAATCTGTCTGCTTATCAATTGACTTGTTCGTATAATCTATTACTTTACTTTGAACCTTGATCAAGTGACATTTGTCACAGACACAAGTGGTATAAATGAAATAACTATGGCAAAATTTTCCTCCTCTCTATATTCGTAAATAATTACGTCCTGTAGGCCTTGAGTAGGGGTGATTAAGTACGTTGGTAGTATATGCCTTTGACAAGATTTATAAGTAGTATACAGGACTAGATACAAAATTGTATATCATCTGGAAAGAGGAGAAATGGGTTTACTGGAGAAGAGAAGAAATAAGCAATGAAAAAATCGAAAAGAAAACACAATACCGAAGATTTCTGCAAATTGTGATTCCAATATATTATTATTGTTCCCTTGGGCTCCTAGTGTAACATAGGGCTTCAACTGCACGTCTCCAGTTGCTTCTGTCTTCCTTCTGCTGTACTTTTCACCTGCATCCATCCACGTTAGTCCATACTGTTTCAACTCCTCTTCACACCATCTCCTCTATGTCATCCTTGCACTGACGTCCCACTCGCCGCTTCCCTTTCGGCCTGGTTCCACTCGAGTAATGAACTGACGCGCGCGATGTCACCCAGCGGCGGCCTCCTCAGCCGTGAGTGTCAAATCCATCCATACCCACCTTCTCCTGCATATTTGTTGGTTGGCGATTGGTTCTTGTTTTGTTACTTCCCAGCCATAGTTTCTTGTTGGTGATTCTTTCCGGCCCGACCATCTGATCTACAGTATAGATCCAGCGAAGACAGTTGTGGTTGATAAAGGTCTGGTCTGCAACAGGCTGTTGGAAATATTCTTTGTGACCCGCCCGCCAAGTTTCCGATCCGTATAGAAGAACTGACTGACTCGACGTTTGTATTGAAAATCCTACCGAATTTTGTTGTTGATGGTGAGTGATGAAGGTTTCCAGATTGGTTTCAGGTTGATGAATGTGTTTCTCGCCTTCCCGATTCTCACTCGATTTGACATCCTCGTCCGTTCCGACTGTCTGTAGTTGAGACAATCCTCCCTAGATAAGTGAATGAAATAACCTCTTTCAAATCCCTCTCGTTGATGGTGATTGACGCTGGATGTTGCTGCTGTTGTTGTTGTTGGTTGGTTATTTTCATAACCTCCGTCTTGCCTATGTTCACTTGGAGCCCTGTCTTCGCCGGCTGCTTCTTCGACCAGTTTGTCGGTTTTCGCTTGTAAATCTTCGATTTTGTGTGACATCAAACATAAATCATCCACACGCGAAATACAGGTCTTCTAGGTTCTTCACGTCGGTCCAGGATATTCCTGTCTTCTCGTTTCCTAGTGTCTGACGCATAATCCAGTCCATCACAATTAGGAATATCATTGGTGATAGTAAGCACCCTTGTCTGACTCCTGTGTTTACTCCAAACGCCTCGCTGAAATTTTCGTTGTGGATCACTTGACATGTGCCATTGTCGTACAGCTGTTGAATAAGGTTGATGAATACTTCGGGTACGCCGTAGTACTCGAGTAGTTTCCAAATTACTTCACGGTCAACGCTGTCAATGGCATTCTCGAAGTCTATAAAGTTGAGGCAGAGGTTTGATCGCCATTCCATGCTTTGTTCTGTGATGATGATGCGTAGAGTTGCAATTTGGTCAGTACATGATTTGCCTTTCCTGAATCCAGCTTGTTCTGGTCGGAGTTCTGTATCCAGTGCGTCCTTTATTCTCTCCAGGATGATGCGACTCAGGATTTTACTTGGCGTCGACAGGAGCATGATTCCTCGCCAGTTCTTGCAGAGTCCTAAGCCGCCCTTCTTTGGTAGTTTCACAAGGTAACCTTTCCTCCAGTCAGTAGGCACCTTTCCCTCCTTCCAGACTTTTGCAATAATGGAGTCAGCATGTCTGCTGTAGTCTCTGGGACCGCTTTTAGTGCTTCAGAGGGTATTCCATCTGGTCCAGTTGCTTTTCCAGCTTTCAGAAGCTTAAGTGCATTCAAGACTTCAGCTTTCTTTGGGGGACTGGTGTCAACTTGCGGTTGTGTACGTGCTGTTGTTGGTATTTCTGGACGAGTTTCAGGTAATGGTCGGTTCAAGAGTCCTTTGAAGGGATCCGCTCATTGTTTAATCTGTTTTTCTTCCTTGGTAATTGGGTTCCCTTGGCTGTCTTTTATAGGTTTCACTTGTGTTGGTCTCTTCCTGGATAGAGACTTGGTTATCTGATATAGTGTCCTCAGGTCCCTTTTGCCTGCTGCTTTCTCAGCTTCAGTGGCCAGATTGTCGTAGAGTCGTCTTTTGTCCTTCCTAGCACTCTTCTTCACTTCTTTGTTCAGTGCTGTGTAAGTTGAGCTCAGCGTCTCCTTCTCCTGTCCGTCTTTGCATTGAATCATTTTCTCTTTCACCATTCTCCTCTCCTCTATTAGCTTCCAAGTGTCCGTTGAGAGCCATTCCTTGTCTTGTCTCTTCTTTCTTCCTAGAACCGTTAAACACGTTTCGTTGAGAATCGCCTTCAGAGACTTCCAATGTTCTTCCACGCATGATTCTTCAGTGATGTCGCGTAGTGTTTCCTGCTTTGCTCTGATAGTTGCAGTGAAAGTGTCTTTTGTGGTTGTGTCCTTCAGTAATTGAGTGTTGAACTTGCATTGTGGCCTATCCCCAGCTATCCTCGAGGCTTTTAGTTTCACCTTGAAAGTCCCTTCTACTAGATAGTGGTCTGAACCCACATCTGCTCCTCTCCTGGACCTTGTGTCCAGAAGGCTCCGTTTTCATTTTCTTGAAATTGAAATGAAGTCTATCTGGTTTTTGGTGTTTCCATCTAGTGAAATCCATGTCGCCTTGTGTATATCCTTGTATTTGAACAAACTGCCAGCAATCACCAAGTCATTGAAGGCGCAGAAGTCTGAGAAGAGTTCACCATTGTCGTTCATTTCACCGAGGGCCTCTCGACCCATGGTGAGTTCTCTTCCTGTGTTGTCTCCTCCCAGCTTCGCATTCATGTCGCCCATCAGGATTTTGATATCACCATTTGGGACGTTGTCAATTATTGCTTGTAGTTGTCTGTAGAGTGCCTCCTTCTTCTCTTGTTCTGAAACGTTTGTAGGCGCATAGCATTGAATAATTGTAACCCTCCTTCCTGTTGAGTTGAACCTGGCTGTCATCATCCTGAAGGAGATTCTAATATATGGTAGACGTATTTTGCTTATTTGTGTACCGAGTTGCCAACAAATAACTCTGCTGCCACATACTCGTGTCATCTGTCGTTACAATGTACTACTCAGCACCTAATCATACATGCAGAATTAGGTTGGGCAGGGTTCGAACCCAGAATTTATTAACTGAAAATTATGTTCTCCAGCTAATGAGCCGTATCTTCATGTTGTAAGAGTTACAACTGCACCTGTGACCGAATGGTTGGAAGTCATCTACTGATTTGAAATGTAATTTACATTATCGATACAAAATTTCAAATGTGTAAGTCAAAATAAAATCACTTCCAAAACGAAATAACCTCTGAAGGTAAAATATATTGCACAATACAACCTTATTGATAAAGTACTATGAGAAAACAGATGAAAATACGATTTAAATTTCGAAAAACAAAAAATGTCTTACATCAGCCATGTCCAACTCTTCATTTAGCATTTGTTCTCTCTGTTCTTCAACTTGTCGAACTCCAAATCGTTCAACCGGCTTTAACTGAGATTCAAATCCGACTAGCTCACGCTCAACAATTTCCTCAATGGTCTCTGCTGTATTACTATTTGACTGTCCTTCTTCAAGGCGCTGGCGATTGATGCGTAGACGAGAGAGGGGATCTATTTCATCCACCAGTGGAATACTTGAACTATCACCTGGACCAGAATTTTCAGGGTCCGCGTCACTGGTGGCACATGGTAACTTCTCATCGAATTCAGCCAAATCCGCCTGTTCAAGTGTTAAAAAAAGTTACAGATAAAGCAAATATGTTACACGCACTTCCTTTAATCAATAGTGCTTTATCACATACGGAAAGTTAAAAGATATTCATAATACATTTGGAGTGATTTGACTATAAAATAGATAAAAATACATCCATTAATACGAAAGTAATGTCTAACGAAACACTGTTTAATGGCTTGAAAACAAAGTTCGTTGTCTGTATACTACGGGAAGTTGTCATACAGAAATTTACAAAAATACCACCATCAGAGTAAGACAATAAGAAGATATATCTACTTACTTTAGCTTCATCTAAAGCACGTTTAGCAGCGATACGGTCACTTTCTTCTTCACATGCATCGAGTAGTGCCTCCAACTGAGCTTCAGTATTCAATGCAGGTTCTATGGAATCATTGGTAATACTGACATCTTGTGAAAGTGTGGATACACTACTCGGTGGACGCACTTGTCTCCCACTACGAGTAGTTGTAACTCCAGGATCAGATTGTGATGAAACTTCAGAATCGACAACCATTGAAGCCGATGTTTCTGTAGTAACACAGTCCTTTGCTTTTTCCAAGTCCTGAAATGAAATTTTTGAGGTTATATAAATGCATAAAAACAAATCAGAACATAAACAATAAGAAAAATGAGACATTCAAAAACCTAGCTCGTTAAAAAAAACAGTAAACTGAGTAACTGATACAGTGGTGAATGCCCAGAACTTCACTTCTTTAAAAATCAACAACGTTAACTGCTTCTAATCTTTACTAATACATCATCATAAATAGGAGAAAAATAACTCAGTGAATATAAAGTGATCATAAGCTAAACTACACAAAATTACACAACCGAGTGTTTATATATAAAATGAAGACAATTATAGAGAAATAAAGATAAAGAAATGATCTGAGTACAAGTGATGGACAGTATTCGACAGTTTCACTCTAATAAATGAAAATATGAGGAGCACTATAAGTCCCCCAAATTTAAAGAATGTACAATGACTTAACCCAGTATTGACCAATAAGAGACTGTTGTGCGTTTGCTATGAATGTATGATTGTATACAGCTTAAGAGAATGATTCATACACTGAGAAAAGATTCTTCGACATATTGCTTTCCATTTTTGATATGTAGTCACGTGACGTGTTTTGTTTTTGACAGTCTGTCATTTTTGCTATGTGTATATTGACCGATGTTCCATTATAATTGGCAATATGTTTGTCTGTCCATTAACTAAATAAGCAATGTATGCCCTTTTTATCACATGACATTACAACCAATCAGAATCCAATGAGAGGACGAAAAACTACCCGTCTTATTGGTTCAAGTATATTAGTCATTTTCATGGCAAAGTTAATCTTTCGACACCATTAACAACCAATCAGCAAACGACTTTGAACGGACGAATCACATTAAAGAGTCACTTATGATAAATGGAAACGTATATTTACAGAAAAAAATCATAAAAAAGGATAAAACTGTTACAAGGGGTATCTTTCTCGAACATGTGAGAGAAACATCTCCCAGTTTAGCATGGGACTGTCAATGGAGAAGTCACACCACATCCTGTACATATATTCATCTAAATGACTATAAATGAGATCGTTTTGCGATGCATTTATAACCCTTATTCTGTTTTTCAAGCGGCCCTAAAACCCTTCATAATAATAATAATAACAGCTTTTTTTTGAATGGAATTCGTATGAGTCCTCGTAACAGGATCCACGAAGTCACTTGAATGGTTCACTCTGTGATGAATATACCCCAGAGATGACAGCGAATTATAACCCTTCCACTCGTCCGTGTGTATAATTGACCCCCGTTTAACAAGTCTCGTTATAATAGGTATTGAAGTGGTTGCTTTTCTGTCAGCTATCCGTTCGACGAGTCGCTTTCGGAGGGAGGAGTCGTGTAAACCTAATACCCAAATGTTGTTTGCTTGCTGGCGACAATGGTTGTATTTCTTTTTCACCAGCACAGTTTCATCGACATGCATGACAACGTTTTCTCCACCCAGCAAAGAAGTGATTTCCTCTATTTTCCACGAAGCAATATCTCTGCAATGCTGGTACCACTGAACTATTGAGACGAGGCTATTTTCCGTCTCGGCAGCTGCTGCTCTCACCGGCTGTTTCAACACCCAGTAGTAGCAGATATGCAAAATCTGGGTTAGGGAGAGATGCGACCTAACGAAAAAATTTCCTACGAAATATTAAAATTATCAGCTCACCCTCTCTTATGCTAGCACGCTTTAGACATATAGCACAACGATGAACAAATCCATTAGTTGATCTGCTATAGCTTTTTAAAGTCATGATACCACCACACGAACAAGTTTGCTCTTTCAGGAGCAACCCTAAATCCAGACAATACTGGAAAACACTGTCCTCCTCGAATTGCAACCGTAACCCTGGAAGGGCATGCATTAGGAATAAATCAAGCGCTATACAATATTGAACTACATCCGTAAATCTCATTGGATAATTCGACGTCGTTCGCTAATTGGTAGTTAGTGGTGTCGAAAGTTTAACTTGGCCATTCTCATATGTACTATGTATTGTACACTTTTATACACACTTGTTCACGCCCTTTCGTACACTACGTACCCTTTCACTCACACACTTGTGTGACAGTCAATTTCCATTGTTGGAAAATACATATATCATCGTGAACGTGGTGGCTTCTGATTTTTCTCTTTCCGCGTCAGGACAAATAACCACTCAGCAGCAAGATAACAGTTTTCATTTCATGAATTTTATGCAGACTTGTTAACATGATCAGTCTAAAATGAGACAAGTAATGGTGGCAGCATTCTAATTTCCCTCCCCCCTTACACATGCGTTGGTGACAATGGCATATTTTAGAGCGATTACTTATACAGTCACAGACTAGTAATAACATAAATGACAATACTACTTGGGGAAAAATACAATCATCATATTATTACCTGAAGTCCTGATGGTTCAGCAAACAATTCCGTTATTGTATTTTGCTTGAAGAAAGCTGTGGTAAACTTGCCGCCTTCAATTGCTACGTCGCTAAGGAATCGTTTCTGATTGGCCTTGCGCAGGATATTTTCTTCAACTGTTCTTTCACTTATCAGACGGTAAATATGTACATCACGAGTTTGTCCGATACGGTGACACCTAAATGATGGAATAAAGTGTTTTTTTACATCGAGGTAAAAGAAAAAAGTTTCACATGACCAAAATGTTTGAGATAAATTACAAAATGCAACTTGTCCGGTACCACCATCATGAGATGTAAGTGGAAATATATATATATATATATATATGGCAACAATAAGACAGTATTATCAATAATGTGTACGCGCTTTATCGTCTATACTTATTCTACGGTAATCCTATATTATTTATATCCCTCACCGTTTGTGTTTTAGTGTCTCATGAAAAATAATATTTTCTTGAATTCTAAATATTATCTTTGTTTGTCCTCGTTTCAATAGAGCGGGCTGGGGCGAAATAGGTAGCGGACGTATAATATTGTTGTCATAGCCAAGCAGTATTCGTGCGTCTGTGTCCGATTCGGCGTCCCTATTTCAACTCAATGTATTGCAAAATATAAAAGTGGCGACATCGTAATAAGTTCACAATCTCATACCGGAAAGTGTTGCACTGATAAAGAACAGGCTACTAAGTAGCAGTTATAGATGAAATGAAAATTTGTTTCGGAGTCTGAATACACCTGCAACTTGGATATCCATTTCGCTTTGAGAAACTACTCAATGCTTAAACAGTAATCTCTCTCCCTCCCTAGTTATGATACTTTAGCTTAATGATAGCCTCAAATAGATGAACCTTTATGTCGAATTTTAGAAAGCTATTCAGAATTTCTAATCATTTAAGAAGTAAGATTAAGCCTTAAAGGTCAACGAAATGAAATACAAAACATACAACGGTTGATAGATACGACCACTCTATGTACGTTTTGCATTCCCTCCGGAAAACGGCGGTCAGTCTGTATAGTTCCACATTTATTTTATCTTTGAAGATACAAATACTCGTGTAGTCCAAAAAAAACACAGAAGGAAGTGAGTGGCTGTTGGTAAATCTATGCTTGGAAACAATTGGTGACATGGCTCAAAATCGTTCTCAATGGTTGGCGCAGATGCATCCACTCCTTGTGACTTATGATCTCCAGTGAAACTGTTTTGTTCTTCGTTATTACTCCTCCTTTGTCTCACACCTCTGCTCACTGTTTCTATTATGCCTTTCTTGTACTTTCTTCTCTTGCTTCGCGTGCTACACGGAGTGTGGCGACTTGAACTTCCACATATTTGTGCAAATTTCTATGTCGAAAACAGACAGACAGAGTGGCTGTTGGTGGGCCGCACAAACGAATGTTTGTCAACGTATAACAACAAACATATGTAGTTTTTTGGATCAAATAACAAATCAGGCTTCATGTTGAAGCCGAGAGGAAATACCCGGTTTACTAAACCTTGTTAACTGAAGTTGGAATCGGATGCAAACTGACAAAGTAGAAATAAACTGACCAATCCTATCACCTATCTTTTCAATCATGAGACACGAAATGTATAAAAAAAATCTAGTGTTAATGAGCTCTTAAAACAACAGTAGCGGCAAAACTACTAAATGAACAATATCAGTAATAGATATCCTACATAAGAAAGCGATACAATTTATTGACACCAAATACTCGTGTCTTTTTTTAGAAACGCAGTACGAAGTTGAAACAAATCTGCAGTTTGTAGACATTTACCTGTCTTGTGCTTGAGCATCCATTGTTGGATTCCAATCTGAATCGTAAAATATAACTGTGTCAGCCCCTGTTAGGTTTATACCTAAACCACCAGAACGAGTTGACAAGATGAAAACAAAAATTTGAGGATCCTGGTTAAAGCGCTCCATTAAAACTTGACGCTGTTCAACTTTTGTTGTACCATCCAAACGTAAATAACGATGACCATGATAAGCTAGAAACTGCTCTAGAATATCCAACATTCTTGCCATCTGAGTAAAAATAAGGACACGATGATTGCCGGACTTAAGTTCACGTAACATGCCACTTAACCGTTGCAGTTTTCCTGTTTTAAAATAAAAGACATTAAAATTCATGAATGATCGAGTATCTAAAAGGTCCACACTTTTATCAACCTGCATAACCTGATATTCTCTCTCCCTCACACACATAAACATAAGATACAAACTGACATTATGATAGTTGCGAAGTGATAACTGGGTGAAAAAAATACGTCGTAGTAGCTTTCCGACAAAAAGGTAACAATGTGGTTGCCGTTGCCCTAAATCATGGCCCAAGACACTTTATAGTGAAAAGAGAAAAGCATTCCGCGTTTCTGTTATTGAAAACGTGTAATACAGCCTTGACTGATATGGTGGTCTTCAATTTACACTTTATCTAAGAATAGATATCCTGAGAAGTTCATTAATAAATACTCTAAAGGGACTATCCCCTCCAAAACAATCCAAACAGTTCCGAAGAAATCTGTCTATATCAGTTTGCCGTTCAAGGAAGATGATGTACAGGAAGTAGTCAAACGAAGATTCGAAAAAGCCACCAAGAGAACTTATTATGCTGCAAAACTTGTTATCCTTAACACCACTAAGTGAGTGTTTCAACAACCTGGGAAAGACCAGTCGCCAATCCTCGACACTTCAAACTGCGTATATCAATTTGAGTGTGTTTGTGGAAGCAAATACATAGGTCGCACGGAAAGACGATTGTCTACTCGCATAATGGGGCATTTGCCAAAATGGTTGAAAACAGCTGAGTGCAAAGTGCCAAAATCCTCAATAACAAAACATCTTGTGGATTACGGAGGTGATATCGACGCGGTCAAGTCATTCACCATTGTCAGAAGACAAAGAAACAAGAAGGTGCTTGCAATTGCAGAGGCTTGTACAATTCGAGTTTATAGAGCAGGTTTCTGTGTACAAAAGGGGATGGTCGTGACTCTGAATCTACCATGGAAATACGTTTTACTTATTATTCTACCTCTTTTTATTATTATTATCATTATTATTAGTCTTGATTCATTTAAAACTATTCTTTATCAGTTTGATTATCTTAACCATTTCAACACTATTACTATTATTGTTATTATAACTATTACTATTGATATTACACTGTTTGCAATTCTTGATATATTTTCTAATGACTAATTGTTTATCTAAGTGATGTAATTGAGGCGCAATGCAATTTATCTTAATTTTGATCTCTCATAATCTCTCTCCCCTTATCTATTTGAACATGACCTGGAAAGCATTCGTACCTGTTTTTCTGCATGACTAATTCAATGTAGTTTGTTTACTTATCAGTCTTATATCTCCCAATGTAATTTCAAAAGTATATATATCCGTGTATGTAAAGTATTCAGCTGACGAGTTCTACCGAAATTTGATGAATTCATTATATCCTGCTTTATTAACCTTTATTGCTTGTTTTAAATTCATATCAAGAAATAAATATTTTCATTCCATTATGATGTATCTGTTTCGCCTCCTTCAAGAAACCCACGACATCTAGTTGTAAGCCAATTGTAAGAAGTTCAGAAGTACATTTTGATACTCAAAGACATAACTGAGGAACAGTTATCTCATGTATTGGAAGACGTTGCCACCCACAATCAGGCCATTTCTCAAGTTTAGTAGGAACTTGAGAATCATAAGCTTGTAAACATTTTAAATACACACAAGAGCAGATAATACCACTAGAGGTCATATCTTAGTCGATTAAAACAAACCGAACGAGAGAAAATATATAGAAAAGAGAGACGGAAGTCTTCGGTAGCCTAAGTTTTTTTTGCAGGCCGCCAATTTGAGCCAAGACTGAACAAAGAAAAGTAAGCACTTCAAATAACGAACTGCATACAATAGGTAAACGTACGCAAACGTGAGTAGACTTACCACAATCGTACTGAATCAATCGTGGATCAGGGAATTGAATACGACAGGACATGACTAACTGATGCAATTTTGATGGCATCAACCAAATTTGAGGACTGAGAGGTGGTAAACGGTCGGCAGATTTTTGATATTCAAGTGAATTCACTGGGAAACATGAGGAGGGTAAACATCCTGAGTTTAACAACATATCTCGAATACGACTTTCTTGATTTACAACTTGGTGTTCCAAAGCATGACTGGACACTTGTAGCATAAAACCCGATGATATAACAGCAGGCACTACAAAAACGAACCTTTTGGAAAGAAATCATACGGCTAACTATTCTATTTATCGAACAACATATTACAGTTTAATGCACAGTTAACATATTTAATATTAATTATAAACAACTCAGTCATCTCACTGAAAATAAGCCGGCGGACGAAGTAAACGAATAAGCGCACATCAAATTCTAATCACACCCTATCTTACTAATTACTTCAAACTCTACTCTTTAGTTTGCTAATTTAGCAGAACAAATAAGTTATAAAATCAACATTATTCTCACGTTTTTCTGCAAGTAAATGTCTCAAAATTCAGGAAAAGAAAAGAGAAAGAAACATGCACACGAATGAAATTCAACGGCAATATACACAGCGAAATAATTACAAAGAAGCTGAGAAAATCAGTTCAAGGAACTTTTAGTGCTGGCAAACTACAAGTCTTATTTTCCACACAATCGGTGGTGATTCCTCAACTGAAAGATGAAGTACCTAGACTAGTCACTTCAACTGCACTTGTGGTGGAGTGAGTTATATTGTCTGTTGGTCTAGGAACTTGATTTTTAGTGCTCACTCGGGAACAACTACCAGTGTGGTTAAATAAAGGTGTAGTGAGAGGCATCAATAGCTCGATATTTAAACACCTGGTTCAAAGTGACCAGTCACAAAGTTAATATTAAAGAATCCTTCTCCACAATCTATCGAGTACCAAATAAATTTCAAAAAGTATCCAGATACCGCATACGTTAAACGGCAGAGGCTATCGCGATTTGTCTTAAACAACCGGCAGTCTGTGTGCAGAAGAAGCAAGTCCAGCCAGTCACTACTACTGCCCTGGTCTACAGTGGAGACCATAAATTCATGAATTAGTATTATTATTTTTCCTAATTTCCCTGTCTGATATTCAGTGTAGTGTTATGTTGATGTTATCGAACTGTGAACCAATGATGTTATTATTGATTCGATGTTATTTAACCAACATTAATGTTGTTATTAACACTAATTCATTCACTGCTATGAGTATATAACTGTAGAAGCTGATGATGAAGTTATCGAAAAGAATATTATTTGTTCAGTAACCATTCTTGTGAATATTCAAATCGATTTGTTGTGATTGGAACTTCTTGTTCCACAACTAATACACTATTCGACCATCATTTGGTTGGAAGCAGATATTTCAACTAACGGAGGTGAGGATTACATTGTGAACAATGGCTATATAAATATTCAGAGGGCCGTCATTAATTCAATAATGAAAGCGATATTTTCAGATTTTTTTTACCAATATAAATCTGTAAAAATGCGTATTATACCTACCTTTTCAGAATTTCATGCAGATCATTCAAATAATCATAAGGACTGTGCAGCATTTTTCGAAGAGGCTTGGATACGTAAGACATAAGTGCTCCTTCAGAATGAGTGGATTTTGAGGATATTGGAACTATTAATCTGGAAGTCATTTCAAAACAAGACGCTTCATCAACTCTTGAAACATCATCACTAACAAATGAACAATTTCGACTCGGCCATGTATACAAGCTCTCATAACAATTGGTTGTACCACTTATAAGACCTGGATATGTCCGAAAACGTTTAATACTATATTCAAGAGGTTTTTCGCGCAGTAAACGAGTGATGTGAAAAACAACATCTGGTCCTATATGAGTTCCATGATCCCAATAATTTCCAACATCATTTGACTGTGAAGTGAATAACATGTCACAACGACGTTCATTAATTCGACTCATTAAAAGCAATCTATTTTGTCTTTCAACAAAACGATGACGTAGACAAGATTTTGGCATGCCATTATCCCATGGATTCTTTGGAAAGTCAGCTATTTGTAAAAAGTAAAAAAAACAACAAAAATTAAATAACGATGAAACTAATTAAACAATTTAAAACTTTTCGGTAACAATTCAGGTAAAAATAGTAAAAATTATGAAAAATGAACGACTTTTAAAATGTACCATTAATCATTCTCTATTACGAATTCTAAAATTTGCAGATCATTATCCCAAAAAGCTTTTGTTGATATATATACAGCACTATGTTCTAATTCATAACTGTTGTACACATAGGACCTCAACACTATTCAAGAATTCACTTTCATAACAAATTCATTGACTTAATTTATTTTATTTATTTTTACAGGATGCGGTTGCTAGCCTCATGCCCAACCATTCCACTTTACAAGTATTTATTCTGGCTTAGCGAGATGAAGGAGTGCGTCGGCCGGGGATCCAACCCCGGACCATATGGGTGGTCGGCGAGCGACCTAACCGCTGTGCCACCGACGCACCACTGACTTAATAATACACCTAAATTACTTTATTTCTCCAATAAATGTTCGTCTTCTCCTCTAGTGAATAGTACTGTCCGTAATAATACCGTTTTATAGGTGGACAGAGTATGTAGGTAAAATTAACATAACATAAAGAGGATTCGAAGATTATTACTTCAATGAATCATACCTTGAATCATAGTAGGTGCACGTGGAACCGCTGATGGGTGGCCAGGATATTGTTCGTTAACTAAACGAAAATTAAAGCGGAAAGAAATACAATTTAATGAAGTAAATAAATATTCACTCGAATTCACTAAAGTAACAAAATACGGTATACTGAGTTTTATTTTGTTTCCGTTTTTGAAAGATGGTTACCAAATGTCATAGATAATTAAATTTATGTCCAAGAAGTTACAGAGAAACACTATGATAAGACCAAGTCAGATCTACTTTACAAACCTAAAGTTCACTACTACTAATAGTGGACCTTCATTCCCAAGCAATTCATAAAACAAATATGTATTTAATCTTCCAAACATCTAACCGTCAACAATCCAACTAGAGGCATTATCTCTAGGTCCAAATTCTGCGTAGACGCATAAAACACCGAGAAGCTTCAATACCAAGTTCAGTTACAAAACCTGATGTTATCAAACTTATCACTGGGTAACAATATTTGAAGAGAACCTACAATAGCTCAGATCACCAGTATTTGACCATTGTCACAAATTGATGAATCCCAAGCCAGACGGAGGGTTCATATTAACCAAAAAAACATAAACAGCTGAAGGAATTGACGAACAACACAGAGATTATGCTGATACACCCTAATAAAGGTGGGAGAATCGTAATCATGAACCGCGAGGACTATACTGGAGAAATGCTAACTATCCTATCTGACAAATCCAAATTCACAAAACCAGTCAATGAAAAGGATATGATAAAGCAACCCGAACAAAAACCAACGGACATCCTTAGAAAACTGAATCATTTATTGGCGCCGAAATATTCCAATCCCTGAGACCATCTGCCTCAGATATAATCCGACTCTACGGATTGCCAAGAGTACACAAAGGAGGCACACCTCTTTGATCTATTCTCGACATGACGAATTCACCTTATCATCACACTGCCTACTGTTTAGTAGATCTACTAGAACCAATCAAAAGGCAAGTTCCCTACCACTCACTCCGAAATTCCTTTGACTTTATCAACTCCATTGGAAACGTCAATGTTTCTAATCGAACCATGTTCTCACTAGATGTGGTGTCACTGTTTACGAACATATTGATTCAGAGGGAATAAACACTGGAATACCTACTGATTATTTGAAGGAACCCTTGTTAAGATACACCCTCAACTTCTAATTCTCTTTTAATAAAGAAATATATCGACAGAAGGATGGTATACCATTGGGCCCACTACTAAGCGTGTCGCTTGTAGATTTCTTCATGTCGAAACTCGAAAATACATACTCAGAGAAAATGACTGATACCCTTGGGTTTTACATGAAGAAATTGGATGATACTAACATTATCTTTAATAACCAAGAGAATTTGGAACACAGTGGATTTTTTCAACAGCTGTCACTATGTAATTCACTTCATATTAGAGGAATCCATCTCAAAAATATCTTTTCTGGGACCAAGATGAAACATTAAAAAAATCTATCTACATAAAGCGGACATAGAACGGATAACTCACCAACTTTTATAGTTAGATGTTTTTATTTACAAAACGAAACCTCGTCAGTTCATTGAACTACAGAATCGGTAGCCCTGACACTATGAAAGAGGAACTGAACACCTTGAAAAGAATACTCCTTGAAAATGGTTATCCACAACATTTCATCACAACATCCATGAGGCCTAAACCACTAAAACGACCAACAACTGCTCTTAAATTACTTCTATACTTGAATCTACGATTCACTAGAAACCCATCAGCAAAAATACTGAAAAACCACCTGCCCCGTTCATTGACGAAAAACGCGACTTAACTTTGACTACCTCAACAAAACCAATGATCCGCATGGACGTGAAGAATACCCGACCGAAAGCTGCTACCTTGACGTGGTGGTCGGGCTTGAACACCGCAATGTCCCAACAAGCTATACTGGCTGAGACTTATGTCTCTTGAGGTCCTACCATGCCAGGCAGGTTGTTTGGATAGCGGTTAAACAAAAAGCAGCTACCCAATCCAACATCATGATACAAACAAAATCACAAAATTTCATGCCGGATCGGCCGTGGCCCGGATTAACAACGACCGCGCTTCCTGCTGCCGTGTCACAGGGCAGGAGTGATATATATGCTACTGAGACACACCAAACAAAAAGAACAAACAAAAACAGGCCGCGTGTGACCGGCCTCAAGCAGTTGTCCCCTGGGCTCTGCGGTCACGCAACCAACTTCCACGGTGTGGGCAGCCGGGAAGTAACAATCGCCCTCACAATCCGAAATGCACACGAAACCTCTCTATTACTCACTCATCTTTGTCTTCATCTTCATCTCTATCATCTTGCCTTCCTTCCACTGATGCAACTCCTCGACTTGATAGCTCTCCACTTCCTCTCCACTCTGCGTCCACTAAAAACGATGGAAGCCAAAAAACCACCACCGACAGCCTCTTAAAGCCGCGCCACCAATTTCATATAGGAGCTCTTAATGTTAGGACACTTTGCCAAATAGGACAACAAGCATCACTAGCCAAGACCCTGGCATCACGAGCCATTGATGTATGCTGTGTTTCAGAAACACGCATACAAGACCCAAGTGTGGTTATTCACCTAACCCCACCTGGCCAACAGGTTGAATCTGCAAAATTCACCTTGAGGGTGTCAGGAGATGCCACAGCTAGTTCACGAGGATTAGCTGGCGTAGGGATAGCTTTGAGTACTAGGGCAGAAAAGACATTGCTTGACTGGATCCCGGTAGATAGCCGAATGTGTGCTGTCCGTCTGAACGGATCAGTAAGAAGGAGGAAGGACTGCACTACTCGCCGATGCCTTTTCGTAATCTCCGCCTACGCCCCCACTGACTGCAGTTCAGATGAAACGAAGGATGAGTTCTACCAAAAGCTGTCTAGTTTGGTGCGAAAGGCTAAACGCTCAGACATAGTCGTTCTAGCTGGTGACTTTAACGCTCAAGTAGGGAAATTGTGTCAATCTGAGAAGGATGTCGGTGGCACCTATGGAGTTCCGTGCCAGCGAACCGACAACGGTGACCGTCTCCTACAGTTCTGCTCTGATAATCATTTGTTTCTTGTAAGCACTAACTTCAAACACAAGGAGAGACACTGTTTGACTTGGAGACCCCCTTCATCAAACCAACGCTGGACACAAATAGACCACATAGCAATAAGCTATCGTTGGCGTGGGTCGGTAGGAGATTGTCGCTCCTTCTGGAACACGTGCGTAGATACCGACCATGCACTGGTCCGCGCTCGGGTGTGCTTACGACTGAACGGACGTAGGAAACAGCTGGCGGTAAAACCATCACGTCCCCAGCTCGATCAGGAAACTAAATCCGTATTTGAGGAAGAACTAGCTAAACACATATCTGTGTTCGACAGCTGTGCTCACCCTGAAGAAGCTTGGAAAAATATCCAGGCAGCCATAGATACAGCTGTAAAAGCTGTGAATAAGGTAAACCCAAAGGTGAGTAAAAACCACTGGATCTCCACCGCCTCATCCGAACTGATAGATGCTAGAAGACTTATTCCGGCGAGCTCCGAATTCAATGAGGAGCGAAAGCTGCACAAGAGGAAACTTACGAAAAGTCTCCGCAAGGACCGTGAACAGTGGTGGGCGACAAAAGCCAAAGAGATGGAGAAAGCTTCGAGGATAGGCAACACCAGGCAACTCTTTGGACTCATCAGGGAAACGGGTGGGAGAAGACAAATCATTAGTGAGACAATCTCGGAAAAAAATGGCACTATAATTAGCTCCCAGGATAGACGACTGGATCGTTGGAAAGAGCATTATGAGGAGCAGTTTAATTTGCCCACAGCCACGCTCAACCTTCCGAGCATCCAACACCTCCCTGAATGGGATATAGACACAGGTCCTCCGTCACTAACTGAGGTTACTAAAGCTGTCACCAATCTGAAACTAGGCAAAGCAGCGGGACCTGATGGAATGACTCCAGAGGTATTTAAGTACGGTGGAGACAGCTTACTGTCCGGATTAACTGAGGTACTAGGCAGCGTCTGGGAATCAGAAGAAGTCCCATCGGGTTGGTGTAAGTCACTGATTATCCCCATATACAAGAAGGGAGACAAGTCTTCCTGTGATAATCACAGAGGGATTAGCTTGACTAATATAGTATCTAAAGTCTTAGGCTCAATAATCATGCGTAGACTGAGTGGTGCTCGGGAAGCACAAACACGAGAGAGCCAGGCAGGCTTTAGACCAGGAAGAGGGTGTATTGATCATATCTTCACCCTCCGACAGATTCTAGAACATAGGCATTCCTACCGGCGTCCAACAGTCATTATATTTCTTGACCTAAAGGCAGCATTCGACTCTGTCGATCGGGAAGTTCTCTGGAGATGCTTGGCTGTAAAGGGAATTCCGAGAAAATATATTGCACTGATTAAGGCACTCTACTCGTACTCATACAGCCAGGTGAGGGCTTACGGCGAGCTGTCATCTGAACTGATGACGACCAGTGGTGTCCGTCAAGGATGCCCATTATCTCCTTTTCTATTCAACTTCATCATAGATGTGTTAATGGACTTAACCCTAGGTGACTTCAGCGACTCAGGGATTGACTTGCTACCGGGAATAATCTCGTTGACTTGGAATATGCAGACGATATAGTCCTTCTAGGCGAAGACGCTGACGAAATGCAGAGTCTTCTAAACACCTTGAGCCGCAATCTACGAATGTTTGGCATGCGATTCGCTCCCGCCAAATGCAAGATGATGTTACAGGACTGGACTACATCGACGCCTAGTTTAAAAATAGGAAGTGAAGTGGTAGAGCACGTTGACCGCTTCACTTATTTGGGAAGTACCATCAGCCCCCAACGGGCTGATCTCTGACGAAATCTCAGCACGAATACAAGGGGCTCGTTTCGCATTTGTTAGTTTACGCCGACTCTGGCGTAGACGAGATGTTCGACTATCGACCAAAGGGCGGGTGTACTGCTCATCAGTCCGCTCCGTCCTCCTTTATGGTTGTGAGACCTGGCCACTGAGAGTGGAAGACATGAAAAGACTAGCTGTCTTTGATCATAGGTGCCTGCGTTCTATTTCCCGTGTAAAGTGGCATAATAAGGTGAGCAACATTGAGGTTAGGCGTAGAGTTCTAGGTAAACAGGGGAAATCAATCGACGAAGTCGTGAAGCTACAAAGACTGAGATGGTTAGGACATGTGTTACGTATGCCAAGCCATCGCCTCCCTCGACGAGCAATGTTAGCGGATATAGGGTCAGGCTGGAAAAAAGCTAGCGGCGGTCAAACAAAAACTTGGCATCAGTCAATGAAATCCACAACAGTTGGTCTAAGCCACGTAGGAAGGTGTAGACTTCCAGGCTGGGGTCCTCGGGACGGTAAAAATCTATGGTTGGAAACAATTGGTGACATGGCTCAAAATCGTTCTCAGTGGCGCAGATGCATCCACTCCTTGTGACTTATGATCTCCAATGAAACTGTTTTGTTCTTCTTTATTACTCCTTTGTCTCACACCTCTGCTCACTGTTTCTATTATGCTTTTCTTGTACTTTCTTCTCTTGCTTCGCGTGCTACACGGTGTGTGGCGACTTGAACTTCCGCACATTTGTGCAAAGTTCTATGTCGAAAACAGACAGACAGACGTGAAGAATAAGCTACCACTGTTGGCCTAATCAGTACTTATCTATCAGTTGATCTGCTTCTGTGGAGCTAAGTATGTCCACTGTATTCAGTGTTGGCTATCCAAAGGTATCTTCGAACATTTGACTGAATCTGAACACCAAGCTAACCCTCAAACCAACTTCTACAGAATATGCGGGAATCTTGCTAGAAAGGTGAGAATCAGACTTCTTCAAACCACAGAAACAATGGCGATTCACATGTTTAATCCCGAACTCTCTGAACAGAAGGCATTTGTCCAGTTACTAAATAGCTACAGTGGATCTGATCTGTCTCAACACCAGATAAGTGATTTTTTGTTTTCCGTAATTTGACTGCACTGTTTTCTTCCCTCAACCCTAATCATTCTTTTACAACCTTCAATATTTCGACACCATTATCCCAACAAGATTTTGTTGATATCTTTCAATTTGGAAAGACTGTACACATAAGACCTCAACACTATTCAAGAATTCACTTTCATAACAGATTCATTGACTTATTAAAATACACCTACATTACTTTATTTCTCCAATAAATGTTCGTCTTCTCCTCTAGTGAATAGTACTGTCCGTAATAATACCGTTTTATAAGTGGACAGAGTGTAGGTAAAATTAACATAACATAAAGAGGATTCGAAGATTACTTCAATGAATCATACCTTGGATCTTAGTAGGTGCACGTGGAACCGTTGATGAGTGACCACGATATTGTTCGTCACCTAAACGAAAATTGAAGAGGAAGGAAATACAATTTAATAAAGTAAATAAATATTCACTCGAATTCACTAAAGCAACAGAATACAATACATCTTGAGTTTTATATCTTGTTTCCCTTTTCGTTATCTTGTTACATGAAAGATAATTACTGAATACGGCGACAGACTAATTAGATTTGAAATAATCAAATATCAATGCTAATTGTCTCGACCGAAAGCTGTTACCTTGACGTGGTGGTCGGGCTTGAACACCGCAATGTCCCAACAAGCTATACTGGCTGAGATTTATGTCTCTTGAGGTCCTACCATGCCAGAAAGGTTGTTTGGATAGCGGTTAAACAAAAAGCAGCTACCCAAGCCAATACTATGATACAAACAAACTCACAAAATATCATGCCGGATCGGTCGGGGCCCGGATTAACAACGACCGCGCTTCCTGCTGCCGTGTCACAGGGCAGAAGTGATATATATGCTACTGAGACACACCAAACAATAAAGAACAAACAAAAGCAGGACGCGTGTGACCGGCCTCAAGCAGTTGTCTCCTAGGCTCTGTGGTCACGCAACCAACTTCCACAGTGTGGGCAGCCTGGAAGTAACAAACGCCCTTACAATCCGAAATGCGCGCGAAACCTCTCTAATCCAGACAGACATGCTAAGTGTATAAAGTGGGCGATGAACATCTAACGGTAGTAGAGTGGATTACAAATTCGTCACTTTTTGTATCAGCACAGTAGCGTCATACACAACAAGAAATAAGTTTTTGTTTTAGAAATTGTGATTCAAAAAACAGGTGATTTTCATTTCATATATCATTCGTACCCGTATTCTAGGACATATCTGTGCGTTGACACACGCACACACACACACTGAATCATACAAATAAAGTAAAAACAAGTTGTGAATAAAATTTTAAAGAAATATCAATAAAAGTTAAGAAAGCTAGAAGAAAAAAATACTGTAGCAGGTCAACGAATTACTGAGTCTAAGATCACAGTAAAAACTGAATAAATCATTTCACTACAAACTTTAATTTTATAATTAAAATGTAAAAAACAGCATTGAAAGCTATTCACCACGACATACTATGCTGTGTGAATAATCTTTAAAAGACTTTAAACTAAATTGTAGCATCAAATGATTTACAAAATCTTGATGGTTGATACACTACACTGATCAGGTTCTGAGGAAGTATACCAATCACTTAAAACAAGATGATGAAGAACGATGAGTAAAACAGTTCTCAGGTTTAAATGACAACAACTATTCAACCACATACGAGTAGATTCACCCTTAAAACACAATTACATTAGATAGTTTTATTAGAAAACGAGGATTACCTGAAAAATGTGATGTATTTGAGCAATACAGTCTGATCACACATATACTTGTCAAGTCAATTTATTTGAAGAAAAAATAAAGGGCAATTTAAGTACACAAAGTGACAAAAAGGATTTAAAAATAATAAGAATATTTGGCACTACGTTTGGTTATATAATGAGATAAGGATTACCAAGGTAGGTTAATAATGATAAGAAATTGCTTTTGTAAACTCAAGTCTCTCCCCCTTGTATGTACGAAAACAGTTAATTATTACTTTTAACTTATCTTGGTAATTCTTATCTCATTATATAACTAAACGTATTATGCATGATTCCTCACACTACCACTACAAACACTGCATTAGTGCTGACAATAAAAAAACAACCTGAAATGTTTATCTTATGATCGCTTAGTGTTGTTCAATCAAATTAACTGATCATCTTAGCTATAAACATTTTTTTAAGAACATCTCATAATTTCCCGTATGATTATAGCTGTTACTGTTCACCACGCATACTCATATCGTAGCTTCTACTAACCAATACTGAAATATTTTTTCATTATTTGTGTTTATCTTCCTTTTTACTTGGTATTTTTATTGCATTTTTTTGTTATTTCTGTGTTTCTTTTTTGGTTTTTTGTTGTTATTGTTTTTTTTTGTTTCTTTTAAATATTTTTTTTTTAAAAATACTCCTTTTAAATGTACGATGAAATTAGATGCAATATTGTAGATATGTGCTGAAAATTCCACACTGTACCACAAGTACTGTTTCTGGAATAAAGCGAAATTGTTATTGTTATTGTTCATTATTCTTATTATTCTCAAATCTTTTTGTCACTTTGTGTACTTAAATTGCCTGCCCTTTATTTTTTCTATATATAAATTGATTTGACAAGTAAATGTGTGATCAGACTGTTCGAAAGATGTTGCTCAAATACATCACATTTCTCAGATACTTCCCATTTTCTAATAACACTATCCAAATTTATAAAAGAGACTAAGTGTTTTAAATATTTGAAATGGTTATATTAAATTATGGTGAGAGCAGGCTGCTAGCCAATTGGTAGACATTAATTTACGTCAGTGTCTAAGTCACTAATATTGGCCGTGAGAAAATATGAACAAGGCTGATTCAACAACCAATCACAGCAGACTTAACGCGGGCAAATAAGATTCGCAAATATACGGCTTAAGTTTCCGAGAAACCAGAAACAACCAATCAGAAGACTGTGCTTGTCTGCTTGAATAAGCTATAATAATGTACATGAAATATATATAAATATGTGCTGATTTCCGTAATAAAACGATCTGTTGCCAGCCGTTGTCTTCTGTTGTTACAAAATAAATCCAAGATTTTACCCAATCTTTTATCGGTGTGACACTGATATACGAGAAAGAGACTATTATACCCACCTCCAGTGAATTACTCATATTTTGAAAATAATACGGTAAGTTTATAGATGTCTTCACAAATTTCAATGACTTTCGTCACACTGTTTAGTCTATTAAGAATTAAAGAATTCTTTTGTGGTTCATTGAGGAGAATCCAATATGGGACAACTAAACATATATAGGCATTTTGATGGTCGGTAAACAAACGCAAAGATTCGTGAAAAAAAACATTAGCACCTCGAAGCCTATATTGACTTAATGAAATCATAATAAAATGTAAAATATATAATATTGAATTCCACAGTCGCACTCAATTGAAACTAGCAATTTTAATAAGTTTTCCCTTCAACGTAATCGCAGAAACTGGTGGATAATTGTTTTTTAGATACATAACAACAGTGATAAAACCATACAGCACTGTCTGTTCTACTTTTTGTTGAGAATTATAAAAAACATCCTTATTGACGTATGATGCATCCCCGGGACCTGCTCAGAGGAATCCAATGATATGCCTCAAATAAGTCTAGTTGAAGGTTTTTCAAATACATTTCTTGTATAATAATTCGGAACAACTATAGTATCGGAGTTCAGCCTGACTGATGCCAACATCTTACTAAGCGATAAGGCCAATGACGCATTATTTGACTGGGATCCCAGTGACAAACCTGTATACGTGTATTTAAGCGACACAGTTCGACTAAAGTAAGAAATAACTCATTCAAGAAGCTAAGCTTTTCTGTCATCTTACCCCGCGCAACGACAAATCTAAACCTGAATATAACTAGTGACAAGTCCTACCAACAAATAAAATACCCAAAATATATGCGTTTGGCAAATGGTAGTGATAGCTGGGGATTTGAATGAACAGATCGGAGTTTTCGATTCAGAAGTGTCAATCTGATTAGACCATGGATACAGGATAGTTGCATTCCAAGCAAGCGATTTCATTCTGATGAGAAACGGATACCTAACATATCCATCGCTAATCTGGTTTCATTTCTGACATTCAGGTTTCGACTCAAATGAACTACAATCAGCTAACAATAGTGTGAATCCTTGAAGAACTGCTTCTTTTATAGTACTTGTTTAGATTCCAATTATAATTTAGTGTATTTGTTGTTGTATTTGTGGAGATCAACATAGCTGTTGCTTTATTCCTGTGGATAAACAGTGAATACTTATCGTAAGGCTCTTATGCATAAAATTAAACAAAGCACACTACAAGGACGAGGTCCGGTGGTCGAAATGTAGGAGTAAGTTTATAATAGCCACTCCAACTGATAATAGATAAATGGTATTTCAATTTATGTAAGCCATTAAAAACAAGAATCCCGGTATTAGCTAACCTCAGAAAATTCCTGGGATGTTTAGAGAAATACTTTTGAAGGCAACGTTCCCTACACAAAAGTACTTCGAGCACAAAACACTAAACTTCACAAGTACAACTAGGGCACGCATTCACCTATCAACACTTCAAAAACAACAGTTGGGTTAGATAAAGTGACCCAATTCCGAATATTTTTTAGCTGTACTTTCTTAGACACTCTGAAACTAGCTCTGAAGAGGGTGTGGTGATGGTGGAAATCTGGTTCACCCCTCTGGTATAGTTGTGTGGTTATTTTGAATACCAGTGATAATTATAAGGGTTTTGATGCTCTACGGTTGTGAAATTCAGCCTCACCTAATCTAATGGCAGCAGGCAGTGCTAAATCCTAAATATTGTTACATATATGCGCGACAGGAAAGAAAGTAATAGCTTCTATGGTAGAACTAAATGAACTTAATAATGATTTCAAAACATATGAGTATTTCGTGTACTTACCGCAATCAGGGTCCATAGAATTTAAATCAAATAGCGGCGATTTATTTGTAGATACATCAAAAGATTTATGTGACTTTTTCAATGAGTTATATTTTACACGTTGAGATATAACTAGAAAACAAACAGAAAAAGAATTACGGAAGCCACAAAACAATTAGATACTTGTGTGCTGCAGTAAGTATTCAATTAGCAAAATAAAATTTTATCAATAGATTACTATTACAACAAAAGACTGAATAGAATACGTGGTACTCTATACCACAACAGCATCACTACACTGATCTGAAAGATGTTAGGGACAAAAGTCTATAAGACTACATTGCTTCACACTTAACAGAATAAATTTTAAAAACTTTTTGAAGCAAATGTAAGTTGTAGAATATTAAGAAAAGTGCTTCGGTAGTTCAAGGGTAGGACGCCCACCAACCACTCACGTGGTCCGAAGTTTGGCCCCCGTCGACGCACATCTAGACCTTGCTAAGCTGTTAGCAAGGTCAGCAAAAAGGTGATGTTAGGTGTGAGGCTAGCAAGCACAACCCGTAAAAGTTTTAGAAAACGGCTGTTATCGAAACTTTAGATCTCAGGTTTGAAGCCCTATGTTCTACTCGGCACGTGAAAGAATAGAATCAGAAGAGTATCAAAAGTAAATACCGAAATGTCTGCTCACTAAGTTAAATATCTGTCCTCTAATATGTGGACAGCAAGAAGGAGAACACACATAAATGATAGAGGATTGGTACACAACTACGTAAATGGTCACCGAGCTGTATTACTTTTTATAAATAAGAACCATCTCAAAAATAAAAACACTTTGAAATAGCAATCAAAATTAGTGATTTCCTGAAATTATGCGTATATATAATATATATATATATATATATATATATATATATGAGAAATTACTCCACGTTTACTAAATTTGTGGTGAGAGCAGGCTGCCAGCCAATCGGTAGACATTAATTTACGTCAGTCTCTAGGTCACTAATATTGGCCGTGAGAAAATATGAACAAGGCTGATTCAACAACCAATCACAGCAGACTTAACGCGGGCAAATAAGATTCGCAAATATACGGCTTAAGTTTCCGAGAAACCAGAAACAACCAATCAGAAGACTGTGCTTGTCTGCTTGAATAAGCTATAATAATGTACATGAAATATATATAAATATGTGCTGATTTCCGTAATAAAACGATCTGTTGCCGACCCTTGTCTTCTGTTGTTACAAACTTACTGCTTTACATTTACGATATACGAAACTGAGATATCACCGTTTTATTATCAACAGCAAAATCAAAACAAAACAAAAACCAGTGCATTTTGAAGTTTGCAAAAATCTGAACTTTAGAATGACTACAAATTCTCAAACAAAACTGAAAGACATTCCATTGAACGAAAAAAACTATTCAACTTTATATGAATAGGATATCTAACAACAATGCATGAGATTGCGTAGTTTTAACTCACCATCATCTACTACGTCATTTGAGTCAATAACAGTAATCAACTCCTTCTTCGCACATAACTGATGACAGCGATTGGCAGCAAACCCGGGTAAATCCCGGGCCATTTCGATTAAATTCATTGTTTGTCCTAAAAGGCGAGCAACTGATCCTGCAACATCCAACCAGTCTAGATCAGGTTCAGTAAAAGCAGAGGCAGACCCAATCACACTTTGACCACCATTCGAACTTGGAGCAAACACCAAGAAAGGATGACTTATAGAAACTAGTAATCTTGGTAGAGAATAGGTAACATATGAATCGGCAACTCGAAAGGGTGATATAATTGGTCTGGTTTCAAACAGATTTGGATGGTTGCAAACTTTACGCAGTTGCATAAGTATATTCATAACTGAGAGGAATTGACCCGACTTAAGTGTTTCTTGAGTACTGAAAAATGAATTTACAAAAGCTTCAAATAACAAAAAGACAAAGAAATTGTACCATGAAGAGTTATACTTCAACCTTGCTATTTTTAAGAGATTTTAAGTCTATGTAGTTGACTTAGGAAAATAAATGTTAGTAACTAGAAAGTCTAAATTTTAAAATATGTTTATGTGTACTAACAAAGTAACACATTTGACTTTTATTTAAAATACACCAAGAAAATGAATAGTACTTTTATAACAGATCGTTGGAAGGACAGAAAGAAGGGCTTCTCTCCGGTTTTCAGAGCATATTCCAAGAAACTTATGCCTAAAAGGAAGCAGATATTTACAAAGTGCGATTACCAGACACCTTGTGGATACGGGTCATTTTGTCGATATTTCTAAATCCTTCAAAATATTAAACATACAAAGGACAGCGAATCTACTACGATTTGCTGAAGCCATTGCAATCAAAAGTCACAGAGCAAACTTATGCATACAGAAAGAGAGTGTGATCAATTTCTCACTCTCTTTGTAACCAGATCGTTTTCAGTTTGAAATTTAAACGATAATTACAAAACAATCGTGACATTGACATTTTTCAAAGATAGATCTTGTGATAGCCTACCCTAAGGAGTAAATATTAATGTCCTCTGTCGTGCAGAAAATAAAAATTCATGGAACACCTAAACATATGAAAAAAACATTGCTGTTACTAGCTTCACTAGAAGGTTAACTGGCCTTAACAACAGGAGCCTTGTGGAATTTACAGAAAATCAATGAAAACTAGATAAAAGTCAAACAATGCAACTTACCTGCCAAGAGACATAAAATCATCGTATAAAAAACGTTGTCTTCGTGATAGTCTGCACATGATAACGTGTTCATACTTCTTGGGAAGTTGACGTTCAACATCAGCTTTAAGACGCCGTAGTAAAAAGGGACGCAGTACTTTATGCAACCTTTGAACAAGTAGATCATTATGATCAGTATTTCCTTCGATCATTCCTATGTGGGGAAAACAATGAAAGCATCTTAACAATTGAACTTTTAAGCCTATTTAGCTCACTGGATTTATAAACAGTGCCGTAGACTCCTTAGGTCTTTCAGTTTCAATGAACATGTTTCATCAGCATAAAAGAGTGAGCTTCCACCTCGACTTGTATTTGTATGCATCATATTTATCATATGTAGCATATACCAAAAAACTACAAACAGTGTCTTGGTACTTGTACTCAGAAATACTATATACTAATAAAGAGTATGGTATTACTGAAGATCAAACTACTTGAACGCGAAGATACAAACAAATTATAGAATTTTTATTGCTCGCTAAAAACGATTAACCACCCTTCAATAAATTATCCTGAACCAGTTTAGAAAGTTTCAAATCACTCACCAACACCATGAAGACTACATGAAGAACCAAAAACTAAGCAGACTGGTGCACTATATCGAACTAAACCACATTAACGTTCAAACATATTCCACTTCAGCTAATGTGAATTACCACGGTTTATATGTACTCATAATCTTAAAAATCTCATTAACAGTTAGTGCTTACTTTCTTCATCTCCTTATGGTATGAATTAAAGTGTCAGTTAATTTGTAGTGACTTTTAATCAAAATATGAAAACCTGACTGAAATAATTACGCAATGGGTGCAAATTTCGCCTAACTACCTGAAATCAAAATCCATGTTAATATACATGGGCTTTTGGTATTATACTAGTTGCGTGGACTGAGTGCGTACACGGTGTTAAAAAGTATGTGACTAATGAGGTATAACTTGCCTGTGATAGGTGAAGCGAACCACTCTTGGAAATCCCGATGTGACTGGAAAATATTTGGCATCAGAAAATGCATTAGAGACCAAAGTTCCATCAGTGAATTTTGTAGTGGGGTACCAGTAAGAAGTAAACGTCGCTGACTGTTAAAGGTAAGCAGAGTTTGCCACCGTTGAGACTTGAAGTTTTTAATATTTTGAGCCTACAAACAACATTTATAAAAAAAACCGGAAAGTGTGGATAATAGGATTGTTTGAAACAAAAAGAATGATTTCAAAAGCTGAAATAAATCAAAATAACAAAAAGTTCCCAGTATATATGAGCCTAAACCCGTATTGGCCTAAGCCCTCAGTTTTCAGCGGATGGACACCACTGCTTCTAGTCCCCCTCCACCCAATTCAGTCTGTGCAACTGGGTAGTACCATTAGTTCGCATACGATTAATGTGGCTATAGCCTGGCAAATCAGAAGTTTTTTCCTGGTAATGGAGATTTAGAAAAGCCACCGTCCATTTTTAATAACTTTCGGATAACAGGAGAGATGGAGACAGAAGAAAAATATTTTTAAGGGTTGATTTGTAATGATTTGGTTTGTTTTTCGAATTTGACCACGGATTGATGTCAGCTAGAGAACCATTGAAAACGACCAGAAAGTATTGAACAGCTGTTTCATCCTATAGTACGGCAGTACGCACCTACCCAGGACCTCCAAGTTAGAAGGCAAGCTCGTATACCATTCAACCACTGGGACCCGATTCAATGGTCTAATAATTCTAACTTCCACCAATTCGTGATCATAGCGCAACCACCAACCAATGTCATCCCGACTGAATGGACTTCATTGGTCACGACTTCTCACTAAAACTTCAGGAAACTCCATCATGTAACAAGACACTAGCGAGCATCAGATTAAAAATCAATCGGTGTACTGCCGGTGATTCCCAAACTAGGATGAAACAGCTGTTCAGTACTCCCTGGTGGTTTACAATGGTTTTCTAACTGATATTAATCCGTGGTCAAATTCTAAGAAAATAAGTGGTGACATGGTACTTGATAAAATAAGTCCAAGTAATACATATTTTCTAAAAGTACTTTTCTAGTGGGCACCCACACCACATAAATGACTTGGTAGATACCGACCTTCTCTTCGTTACGCCCTCTTATAGCAAAATGTTCATAGCTTCTATTAGGTAGGTTCTATCTATGGTATTAACGCAGTATGGGGTATTCTAACAAAGATGAAAGAGGAGTAGAAATGTCTGGTGCTCATTACTGGTGTGAAGGACACAGTGGGTCCACCTAGGGGAGTTCGGAAAACCTGATTTCTAACCTAGGAGGTACAAAAACTCCAGGATCACCGAGGAATGAATGGCATGTGAACCTGCTTTTGTAACGACAGAAGACAAAGGCCAGGCAACAGATCGTTTATTTAGGAAATCAACAGATATTTATAGATTTTCACGTACATTATTATAGATTATTGTAAGCAAACAAGCACGGACTTCTGATTGGTGGTTTCCCGCTGAACGTTAATCTTTTATCTCTTTGTGGCCGTTTCTTGAAGTTCAAGTTATCTATCCACAAATTGTATCCGCCTACGCAAAGTCTGCTATGATTGGTTGTTGAGTCAGTCTTTGGTCTTATTTTTCTCATGACCAATATTGGGGACGTAAACATTGACGTAAATTACTGTCTAGCAGCCAGCTCTCACCACACTTTGAGCGTCGACAATGATGAGGACGTAGCTGCTGACGTTATCTGCTATCTGATGGATTACAAATCAAGTCAGACTACGGGATGATTTGATTTGGGCATCGAGCAGTCTCTTATCATTCACATAGACATTATTGAAACGACAATCTAGTAAAATGCTCTGACCAACCCCGCACTTTGCAGTCCACCGCACTTGCTGGTGCATGGGCCGTATACCTATTCAATTCTACATCATTATAATGTCACTGTTACTCTTATCTTTTTCATCACCTTTACACTTTTTATTACTTTCATTCTTGTTAACTAGTTGTTACTGTTTCAAATCACAGTCTGTGCTGTTCCGTGTTCCAAGATAATCATCAATGCAATAACATGTTTATTTTGACATAATATCGCGAATCAGACAATAGGCAGATTTATTTTTTTTTATTATTTTTGATTACAGCTTGATTCCACACTGTATTTTCGGTACAAGTATGGAATTTTCAGCATGGATATCGGTAGCCCAAATTTCGCAGGCCGACCATAAATATCAGGTGTGCGTCGGCAGGGATCGAACCTCGGACCATATGCATGGTCGGCGAGAGTCCTTATCACTGTGCCAAAAACCCTGAAGTGCTTCGTTCTTGAATTAACCTACCTTCCCAAGATCCATATACAAAGTCTCACTAACGTGGTTCGAATGACTCTGCTATCTATTGCTTCAAGTAGTGCGTTTTATGTGCGCTTATCGACATGCCTTGTAGCATCAGCGTCCGGTCTAGTTGATGTCGGTGTCACATTCAAAGCTAGAGAAAAAACTGCATTACTTACTCCAATGGCTCCCTATTAACACCCATTCATGTAGTGTTAGATTAGACAGTTATGTTAGAATGAGAAACAACTGGTTAGACATGTTGCAGTTATGGCATCTTTGCTTACACCCCGACGGATTGCAAAATAAGTTCTACCGTCAATTCACTCACCTTCCCAATCAAACACATTTGACAGATATCATAGGATTCGCCATCAGCTACGAACAGTTAGAGTACATACAGTATTCAAAAGTCAAACTGCATGAGAATTTTTTTTATAAATCAATTTAATTTAGCAAACTCATTGTATGTTCGTACCACGATTGGAGCCTGATTAACTATGTGAAATCGTGTAATACATTCCCGTTTCCAGAGTCAAAGCAAGTGTAAAGAACGAACACAATTGAGGAGCCATTTTCAAAAACCTGAAAACTCAAGCTCATAAGCTACACCTTTATTACAACAATATATGTAATATATTGTATCATGGTTCAGTAGCCTAGAAGATAACACTCCAAAATTTGAAGTGATAAGGATTCGGTCCACCTCCCAGTAGGATCACCACCACTCACTAGTATTCAAGAGCATTTAGTTGACGGTGTCAGGCAGGACGAAAAGGACACCCTACTGCTAGTCACCACCAAACAAATATCACCACGTAGATTGACAAGTGGACTTTTTTTTATCAAAAATGATCAGCAGTATAGGAATGGCCTATACGCCCTTCTCATAAGCATAAGTGCATGCAGAAGAAATGGAAACTATGCACTAAACAAAGTATTATCAGACCGACTCCAGTGGATTAAAATGCATATAGTTACTGCATAACATATGAAGCAAATTAGATTATTTGAAAGTAACACTAATTACCTCGTCTAATATGAGATATTTCCACTTCTTACGCTTGAAAACGCCTGCATCCTGGATTGCCAAACTGTAAGATGTTATACAAATATGAAATGCGTTTGTTTTAGTCCAACCCTAAAAACAAGAAAAAAAATTATTACTTTTTGAAATTACTAAGTATCATAACATTTAAATGTCTGAGCTTACATAAATGTTAAAAACTAACCGTTCTTTTATGCTTTCTTTCTTTTATGCTACCATAGTAGGTCAGTATTTTGAAAGCTGGACACCATCGTTTGATCTCCACTTCCCAATTAAGGATAACACTTGTTGGAACGACTATTAAATGTGGACCCCATACACCTCTTTCGCAGGCAAGATACGCCAGTAGTGAAATTGTTTGGATAGTTTTACCTAGACCCATTTCATCTGCGAGAATTCCGTTCAGGCGCTTATCATAAATAGCAACCAGCCACGATAAACCAACTGTTTGATATTCTCTAAGGGTGCCTCCAGAGAGAAGGAATGGGGAGGATATAGTTGTCAAACCTGCTCCTGACGAGGCATTCATAGCTTCGTTCGTGATAGACTAAAAAGAGAACAAGCAAAGCAGAGTTTCATAGTACTTAGAAACATAAATATTGAAAAGGTATTCAAAAGTATTTGAATCGAAAGCCGGTAGTGAAACACGGCATGAAATGTTACCCTAATAGTAAAGAATTACCTAGGAAAATTAACAACTATTTTTAAAGTCTAGCATAAATATGATGTAGAAAGCGATATGTGCAGTGAATCAGTTCCAGCACGTTTACCATTTGATACAAACCAATGTCTATAAAATGCATCTGTGTTATATCTAACCCACTTGTGTTGTTGGTCTGCAGGTAAATGTACCCACAAGCACAAGCCCATTGCCAACATGTTGGACTGCTAATGTGTACTTTTGTTTTACTCTATACTATAATGTTGTACGAATGATATATATACATTACTAATAAACACCTTAAGAACTGTCAGTACATGATTTTAACAGAAATGGTATATATTCATTTCAGTACCAAGAAACAAGCTGAACCTTCACAAAACAAATGGAATCCATATATTACGAGAAATCTCATTTGATAAAACAGTGAAAAATCAGGAAAAATTTCAACTGTTGAATGATTACCTCGATATTTTCTCCACCAGGGAATGTCTGACAAGATGATTGCTCTGTCTCTACAGTGTTACTGCCAGTAACATCCACATTAACATCGTTTGTAGTTTTTTCCACTTTATCATTTGCCTCATTATCCACGAGTTCTCTTAGAGATAGTTCAGAATCACTTTTCAACGAAGAACATTCTTTAGCATCTGAATTTTCTTGTTCCGTTTCATCATCGCTGCTCTCATCGCTCTCAGATGATACGGACTGTGTGTTTGATTCCACGTCTGATGCGCTAGAGTATTCTTCATCATCAAGCTCATTTTTATGTTGAGGAGTAATATCTCCCGTTTCTTCGACTGGTAAACTTGTTTCCGAAACGCAGGTATTAACCTCATTCTTAATCTCTTTATTTTCCTCTGAAAGCTGACAGTTATTAACCGTTTCACTGGAGCATGAGGTTACCTCATATTTATTGTTGGCTCCTTCACTTTCTTCTTCTGTTGCTTCTTTATTATCTTTGGACTATGCAAATAAAAAGGCAAAAAAGAACAAAACAAGTAAAAGGCACAGTATAATATATGGATCTCCTGTGATGAACTGCACCATAAGGATGCATAACAGTGTAAATAATATTACACAGAGATGAATGTTTCTCGTTCAACTTGCAAAATCCTAAAGGGCGTAGGGTATTAAAAACTATGAGATTTTTTTTACATAATATGGAATGATAAACCAAATAAACATATGGATGAATACTAAAGACAATTATATTACTTTTGAAAAGTCCTTATAAATGATAAATGACCTATTATGCTATTGTCTTCAAGAAAACTCAGTCTAAACAAATAAGCAATACAGTAGATCATCCAATTCCAATTTCACTACTGAGTACAAATCAAGATTACCATAAAAAAAAACTTACTTCATTGTCTGAAAGACACTCTTTATTAGCAGAACATGATTCAATGAATTCAAGGTACCCGGGAGGCAAAAGATCTTCTAAAGGACAATTAGCTTCAGCCTCCAATTGGGCAAGTTCAACCGTTGGAGACATCCCAGAGACATGACGTCCCTGCATAGCTATTTTTTCCTCTTGCTCTATAGTTTCTTCGTCATCTTCAGCTTCTTCAAATGCTTTTTCATCTGCCTGAGAACAAAATAAGTGTAAAAGTAATTACATCATTATAAAAGTTGCAGGACAAATACCAAGATTTATTTACGTCGTTCATCAATTAAACAGCATTTTGTCAAATATATGCAGCTGATGCACACAAATTTCAAGATTTTTGAATCAATTATCCTTCCAAACGGTGCAATAGCTGAGGTCAGGAAGTGGGATAGATCAGTCGTGATATGACAGTGAATTAGCAGAGTCCCTAATGTTCCTTCATCAAATAAAGTTGACTTAGTATCATTTCTCTTTGGTCTAGGGAAAGCTACAACCCATATAAAAAAGCAGTAACTTATCAATTAAACGCAGAAAAAGTGATACAGAAGTTAAGCGTGGTGTAAAAAGGAAACAGGAGTATGATTACTGTTAAAAAAGCGAAATCAATGTACATGTATTTGGAACTCTTAAGACTGTAAAGTAGGATTTTCGTCTACGATAAACTAGACATCTGTGGTTCACCCTCGGTAAGTGACATTAGAATACAGCAGTGGACAAAGCAACCTAATCGAAAAATATTCTGTTGATCGTCGTATAATTTAGAGGTTAAGTTCTGATCCAATTGTAATTAGGCACACCTATGCGAAAGCTTATTCGTTATCCCCTTCGAGATCAGCCTCCGTAAAAGCATCCTCCAAAATAGCCAAATGAAAGATAAATTAGAGGGATACAATTGACTTACAACGAATTCCTCGTCGGATAAATCTGGTTGCTGAGAATCTGGTTTTGGATCATTCTCTTTGGTAACTGAAACATTTTCTTTCTGACTATCAGAGATAGAGTTTATACTGTTAGCATTCTGTGTGGATTTGGAATTAGTTATCCCTTCAGTTAACCAACGAGTATATTCTTCGGTGGTTTCAAGCACTTGGCCAAGATGCGAACTAATAGCTTGCTGACGTTTAGCTGTTAGTCGTACTTGCTGCTTCGCTTGAACAATCTATACGATGGAAGACAAAAAGTTGTACAAATTGATTATGTAAAATAAAACACAGAAAACTTCATGAAATTTCAGGCAATTTATGCATTACATTTAAAGTTTGATACTCCTTAAGCCAGGAATCACGTTAAGCTATTAACAACTACTCTACAAGCCTTCTGGATAAAAAGAGGAAATCAGTAAAGATTGCCATATATATATATATATATATATATATATATATATATATATGGCGAAAGAATAATAGCTTTTTCGCCGTATGCACTTTTAAAGTTACGTTAGTCAATTTCGGACCACCACCTAATATGGGAATAGGGAAAATTCAGTAAAACCTGTACAGATTTATTGAATCAAATGTGATAATGATTCAAGCCAGTAAACTGTATGATATTTTAGGTCTCGGTAACACAGTTCTACTTGATAACAAACAATAGGGAAGGTACTAGCTTTGTAGATTTGAAAAATAAAATAACATGAGCAAATCCTATTTAAGATATTCAGCTTTGCACCAGTTACACATATTTAAGCATTGCGAATCTTTCCCATCCACTGATAGGTCAATCAAAGCAATGATAGAAAATACTGATTACAACATAAACGAGAATGAATGAATGTGGAAATACTTCCACATCAATTTACACAAATCTAGTTTTTGAATAGTACATACCTTATCCATTTGACGCCACCAATCGCGAACCATTCTTGCAATAAATGCGCACATCTTGCGTACACGAATAACTTCCTCTTTTTCTATCCTCGAAGCTCTCTCAGTTTTGTCTCGGTAGGACTTTAGGGCAGTCAGTGCGAGCTTAGGGAGCAATTCAAACAATTAAGAAAAATGATAATCTAAATCGATATATTTAAAAAACGCTAATAAATAGATTTTGTGCAAAACACCTCTTCTGGTAATTCGAAAAGCAACTTATTCGTATGTTCACGTGACCACGGATTCGAACAAGCAAACATACACAAATATAACATACCTTCTTAGCAGAGACCCTTTTCCATTGACGTTCCCGTTTGAAGTCCTCAGCTAGCCAATTGACTTCTGCAAACATGTAATCGCTGAAAGTGCGACATGTAGGCTCAGTTGGTGGAGCTAAGGAAGAATATTGGCTGAATTGTCAATAATGCCAGATTCTGTCGTCCCACAAGATGAGTCATCAGCTGACCACAGGCCAGCACGCTTGAGTTCTAATACACGTTTAAGAACATTTACTTCTTCAGTAGCATATTTCAGGACAGAGTTTTCATCCAATCCGCGCTAGAAGACAATAAACCGTAATTACGTTAAAAACTGAATCGACTATCAGACAAAATGTGTTAATATACGAATAAACTGTGTTATGATAAAACTTCGTCAAAGGTTTCTACTAAAAATCACAAAACAAAAGTTTATCAGTGAATGAAACCACGAAGATGCTGGAATAACAGTTTCCCTGGAGTCCTTTGAAAATACTTGACTAAATAGTGGATTAGTAGTCCAATATATATAGCACACGTAGACAAGATCCCAAATGTCGTCGCATCAAGCTATGAAATATCCTTCTTTGTATGAGTTTTTATTGATTGGCGAAAACTTTTCGGGTACCTCGTAATTAGCACTCGTATTACAACACTTAAAACTCAAATATTTGAAAGTATGGATGTTAGCGGAATTTTATGTCAGCTTACATGAATTATATAAGCTAAAATTTAGCTTGTTTTACACATGCGTCTATAGAGTATTGTGGGTACTTAACTTGAAACCAGTAGGTGATGAGTTCTATCATATTGCGTAAGCCTCATCAATTCTTTAAATTGCTGGAAATGTATGATAATTGTATGATAAAATTTAATGGTACCAGAGTTATATAATTCACAAAAACAGACCGTATAATATTTCCTAACCTAATAGAGATTTGTAGCTCAGGTGGATGGTTTTCCATTAATAGTGTTCTCTGAGCTGATTGGTTTAGTTGCGGAGCTTGCGTTTAAATCATTTCACTTTATGCTAAATATTGAGCTGAAGATGTCCAGAAGGACGACGAAAGCTCCGCAACTAAGCCAACCAACTCAGAGAACACTATCAATTGCAAATTTCCTAACCTATTTCAGTTAGGCACGCTTGAATTTGAGACTGCCTGTCACGGATTTCAGATCCGAGAAAAAATGCTGCATATAAACCATTAATTCCACTAATCATAATTCAAGGTATCTGGTACATCATTTAAAATGCATACTCATTTCAGAATGCCAATTGCTTCTCCATTTATCTTATTGTGTGCTAGACTAAGTGAGCTTTCCAAAAAAATAAGCTAGAAAGTTCACCAGTTTAAGTTACCATATCCAAAAGAATACACAAAGCGGAGAAAAAAATTCTAACGAAATATGATGAACGGAAATGTACGTGAGGAAGAATAAGTATATGAGGAATAACGAGAATTTAGTGGATCCGGCAATGCATAAAAAGCAAGTGTATTTGCAGCATTGAGAACGACTTTGAGCCATTCACTCCCAGTCTTCATTATCTTGTTCTTAACGTCTCGAAGACACCAAACCAAACAGTCTACACCCCCCACCTACGTTTCTTAAACTATCAGTCAAAGATTTCATTGACTGATGCCAGGTTTTGATTTAATCATGCCTAACTCTTTTCCAACCTAATCCTACTTCACTTACTATTGCTCCACTAGGACAATTGGTGACATGGCTCAAAACCGTTCTCAGTGGCGCAGATGCATCCACTCCCTGTGACTTATGATCTTCAATGAAACTGTTTTGTATTTCTTTATTACTCCTTTGTCTCACACCTCTGCTCACTGTTTCTATTATGCTTTTCTTGTACTTTCTTCTCTTGCTTCGCGTGCTACACGGAATGTGGCGACTTGAACTTCCGCACATTTGTGCAAAGTTCTATGTCGAAAACAGACAGACAGACAGACAGCTCCACTAGGAAAACGATTGCTGAGCAAACGCAATATTTGTTCTTACCATCTCGATCTATACAGTTTTACAACTTCAACGACTTACTTTCCCTTGCCAACATTCAACCTCAACATTACTCACTACATTACACCACCTAACAACAGATGGAATGTAGATACGTATGGTCAAAGATAACTAGTCCCTTCAGCAACCGTCTTATAGTCATAAAGAAGGATAGGGTGAATATGTCCTATGATTGAAAACCGTATATCACTTCTACACCAGAGAGGGAGTAAGTTGGCGAATGCCACACGAGCCTTTTGTACCCGAGCAGAAATATCGTCAGTAATCTAACTGACTGGTTTCAACATAGAATTTTGCACAGATATGCAGTAGTTCGATTCGCCACTCTCCATGTAGCATACAAAACAAGAGAAGAGTAGAGGGATGTTCAAAAGACAGATAATAAACAGAAAAATGAAACAAAAAGAATAGTAATATGAAGAAACAATAGATTTCTATTGGTTATGACAAATCACAAAGAGTGATTGCATATGTGCCAGTGAGACCTATTTTGAGCCATATCACCAGTATTCTTTAGCCACTAGTCCTTAGCATCTTGAGGGCTCCAACCAGGAAGCCTACATCTCCCTACATGGTTCGAACCAATTGTCAGTCTTTGTAGACTGATCCCAGGTTTTGGTTTGGCCACCTCTAAATCTTTCCCAACCTTGTCCAATGTCAGCTAACCTTAACCGTCGAGGAAGACGATGTCTAGGCACGCGTAACACATGTCCTAACCATCTCAGTCGATGTTACTTCGCAGCACTGTCTATTGATTTTCCCTCCTTACCTAACACCCGACGCCTAACCTCAATATTGCTCACCCTATTACACTTACTATCTAATATGGGAGATAGAACGCAGGCACCTATCATCAAAGACAGCTAGCCTTTTCATATCTTTCACTTTCAATGGCCATACCTCATAGCCATAAAGGAGGAAGGAGAGAAGTGATTGGTAGTACACACGTCTTTTGGTCGACAGTAGGATATCACACGTCTACTAAGCCAGAGATGGAGTAAGTCGGAATATGCCAAGCAAGCCTTCAGTATCCGTGCTGAGATTTCATCAGCGGTCAACCCCCCTGGAGCTGATGCAACTTCCCAAATGAGTGAAGCGGTAGAGCTCGCTGACCACTTCACTCCCTATTTTTAGTCCAGTCCTGTAACATCACCTTTCATTTGACAGAAACGAATCGCGTGCCAAATATTCGAAGACTGCTGCTCAAGGTGTTTAGAAGACTCTGCATCTTGTCAGTGTCTTCACGTAGGATGACTATATCATCGGCATATTCCAAGTCAACGAAATTATACCCTGATAACAAGTCAATCCCTAAGTCAAAGAAGCCACTTAGGGCCAATTCCATTAGTACATCCATGAAGAAACTATTTAAAATGGGGATAGTGGGTATTCCTGACGGAAACCACTGATTGTTCTCACTTCGGGTGACAATTCTTTATAAACTCTTACACGGTTGCGTGAGTATGAGTTGTTTCTTGATTAGTGCGATATACTTCCTTGGCACTCCACAGAGAGAAATGGCTACAGCATCTCGTTCAATGGAGTCAAACGCCACCTTCAGGTGAAATATGGCAAATGTTGGACGCCTGTAAGTATGTGAATATTCCAGAATCTGTCGAAGGGTGACGATATGGCCAATATGCGCTTATCAGGACCTAAGCCCTGTCTGGTTTCCACAGGTTTGTTTCTGCCGAACGCCGCTTTGCCGACTCATAATTATTGAACCTAAAATTGTAAGTGCTGTGTTAATTAAGCTAGTCTCCTTGTGAATATAACGGGAAGACTTGTCCTGAAATCCTGGAAAACCAATGATTTACACAGGTGCGACAGGAACGTTTCTGGGTACATAAAGGGAAGCTCACTCCAGAAAAGTTTCTTACCCACATACTATCTTCACATTTTTGAGCCATGTACTGTTACTGCTAGTGCTACTACTGAATCTTAAGCTCTTCTCAACTGGTGTGCAAAATGTTTTCTGCAAACTATCGGCAATGGTAACCTGGCCTAGATTACTAGCTTGCTAGTTTTCTAGCCGGTCCCAAGCCCGGATAAAGAGAGAAGGTTGGGGCGTGATGCTAGCAACTCCACCCGAAAAACTTGCCAAATTGCTACAAAAACTTCAACGCATAAATATGTTAGATATACTAAAAATATAAACAGGAACCTTATTTTTCGCTGGAATCGGGGAAGTGAAATGACGCAGGCTGGTGAAAGCCTTCGGGAAGCCAGTCAGCCGATGTGCCTTCTTTCGATGAAAGCAAAAATTAGGATGGGGACGTGGAATGTTCGTACAATGTACGAAACTGGAAAGGCTGTCCAGGTAGCCGCAGAAATGAGAAGATATAGAATAGAAGTGTTGGGAATTTGCGAGAGAAGATGGAGCGGATGTGGAAGGCGCCAACTACCAACTGGAGAGACAATAATCTATTCCGGTCACCCAGAGGACAATTACGAGCACACCGAGGGAGTGACCATCATGATGTCACCAACAGCAACCAAAGCTCTCATGCAGTGGGAACCAATCTCCTCCAGGATAATGACAGCCAGGTTCAACTCAAAAGGAAGGAGGGTTACAATTATTCAATGCTATGCGCCTACAAACGTCTCAGAACAAGAGAAGGAGGATTTCTACAGACAACTACAAGTAGTGGTTTGGTTGATTGGTTACAGGATTTCATTATGAGCTGACATTGGTTACAGAACCTTTGAAAACCTGAGACTACTGGACAGCTGTCTAGTCCTAGTTTGGGACTCTTCATCAGTACGCACCCAGCGGGGTTCGTGGGCCATTGGGTCGGGTCCCAGTGGCTTAACGGTATACGAGTTCGCCTTGTAACCAGAAAGTCCCGGGTTCGAACCACGGTGGGTACGTACTATTGAAGAGTCCCAAACTAGGACGAAACAGTTACCCAGTACTCCAAGATTTTTCAATGGTTCTCTAACCAATGTCAGCTCATGATGAAATCCTGTGACTACAAACAGTAATGGACAACGTCCCAAATAGCGATATCAAAATCCTGATGGGTGATATGAATGGGAAACTTGGAGGAGAAAATACAGGAAGAGAATTCACCATGGGTCATTCACTTATATAGGGAGCATTGTCTCAACTACAGCCAGTCGGAACAGACGAGGATGTCAAATAGAGTGAGAATCGGGAAGGCAAGAACACACACATTCATCAACCAACTAAAACCAATCTGGAAATCTTCGTCACTCAGCCAGAATCAACAAAATTCAGTCGGATTTTCAATACAAACGTCAAGTCAGTCAGCTCTTCTATACGGATCAGAAACTTGGCGAGCGGGTCACAAAGAATATTCCCAACAGCCTGTTGCAGACCATTATCAACCAAAAACTGTCTTCGCTGGATCTATACTGAAGATCAGATGGCCGGGCCGGGCCTGGCCTGGAAGAATCACCAACAAGAAACTATGGCTGGGAACAAACAAAACAAGAACCAATCGCCAACCAACGAATATGCAGGAGAAAGTGGATATGGATGGATTGGACACTCGCTGAGGAGGCCGCTGGATGGTGACATCGCTGGCGCGTCAGGCCATCGCTCGAGTGGAACCAGGCCGAAAGGGAAGCGACGAGTGGGTTGAAGGTGCAAGGGTGACATGGGGATCGTGTGAAGAGGAACTGAAACAGTATGGACTAACATGGATGCAGGTGAAAAGTACAGCAGAAAACAGAAGCAGGTGGAGATATGCAGTTGAAACCCTATGTTCCACTAGGAACCCAAGGGAACAATAATAATATAATCGGCAATGGTACTTTACAAAAAAACAAACTAACCATAACTAAAACCATTAATGCACTTGGAACAGCAATAAATTGGCTGTTCTTCCACCTACTTTATATATTTTAAGACCAGCAACAACTGCTACCTAAAACAACTCTTACATCCTGACAATCAACCATAAATCCACAAGGTAGATTTAGGCTAAACAACAAGTATACTGTATAAAACATGCATGCTAACGATAGAGTTAATAACCCAGTTTAAGCTGATAAAGAGAAAAATATTAGGTTGGGATAAATAGGAACAAACGAAAGGTGCAAACTGTGTTGAATATACAATGATACAGAGTCACTGGTGATGACTTCAATGTCAAAATTACCAGCTTCAAGTAAGTGGACGTTTTAGATTTCTGCACAGCTACAGTGACCATATTGAGAAATAACGGTTGAACCTGGTGAGTTTTGGACTCTGACGTATTATATGTTACTATCAAGACATATTACTTCACAGTATTGATTTAAATGACCTAGTATGGTATAGTAAATACCACACTTGTAAAGATGCAAAACCTATCTCGTGATGGTTACTGGAAGACCAATAGTTTTTGAAGTGGTCTTTATTTTTAACTACTGCTGATATAGTGCTTTAGCCAAGCAGGTGTTTTAGGGGATACAAGTATTATTTCAAACTAACTTCATCACCTCAATGTTTAAAGTGGAAATCCTGAAATCTCTTAAAAATTTATATCGCTACACTGAGAATATTTACAATATTAAAATACCATATAGAAGTTCAGCAAAAAGTACTGCTCACCTCATCATCCTCATCTTCAGAATCATGGTCCTGTGTTGACTGTGGACATAGACTAGGGTGAACAGCGCCACAAGGTGGAAAAACTGCATCGCTTGAGATATGGCCTGACATAAAACCGCTTACTAAGGCAAGATCCTCCGGATCTAGGTGACCGGAGCATAGGGCCTGCATTAATTCTTGAGTATTTTTTCTCCTCCATTCGTAAAACTCTACCAGAATAGATCCACTCTGTATGAAGTTGAGTTCAACTATATCCTCATGGTAGGAAGACTGGACAGTACCACACAATTCACGGAGAAAGCTCGCTAATGTGTTGCGTCCTTCAGAAGTTTCACATGGAAGCTTAGCATTTAATCCAGAAATATTTATACTACGTCTGGAATCTGCTTCCGACTTGTTTTCTTCACTGAAACCAATTTCAACCATTTTGAAGTCTCATTTGAGTGAGGTTCAAGGGAAGAAAGAAGCTACAGTAATAAGAGAGAGGTCAAAAATAAACTTCAGGTGACTAATATTGCAGTACACATCTAGTTAACAATGCAGTAGTTCACATTTAGTGCCAATTACATTCTAACATGGGAAACGTAAACAGCACAAGAATACTTTCACTCACAGCGTGAAAAATATTGACTTAAACTGTCCCAAACAACCAAAATCGAGAAACACTTAGAAAATACTTCAAATTTGGTTCCAGCGACTATAGGCCATCTAGAAAAAACACTAACTTTTTGGCTTTTGAAGGTAACAAAAGAAGGTACAAAAAGTACTGTTCCACTCCAAGACGTATTGAAACACTAAGTGTTCAATAAACAATGTTGAAACTTGCCTATCACCATTGCCTTTCTGGACCTAATACAGTCTTTCATAACAATATTTTTGTCAGTTACTGCCTAACAAAAATTATTCAGCTTGAAAGTTTTTCATCTGGAGGAATTCTAAGTTCAAGAATAATACTGCACTCACACCCATATTTAGCAATGTATTTATATATAGCGAGAGAGTAGGACTACCAGGCGAATTTCTAAGAAAAGTATTTAGGTGAATAGATACATAAAGCCATCAGCATTCGACCCTAGATTTTGACCTACATCGTCTGACCAGATCAGATTGGCTGAAGACAAGACGGCATGTTGCATTCGCTAATTAAGCCTGATCCCCCAATATACTAGGTGCATGTCTGGTGTTCATAACACCGGCCATGAAATATAAATCCCCATCAACCCTTTTTTTGCTTTGTTCCTGTCAGTTCTTTTTGGTTTAGATGTTTAATAAATACAAATGATTTTGTGGATTAAATACATTCAATAAAGTCATCAGTATATGTAACATCATTCACGCCAAGATTCAAGTAAGCAGAAGAGAAATGATATCTAGTTAAAGGTGTAGTAACGCCAGCAGCTATGAATGAAAATTCAGCCGTCACAGAACTTTCGTATATTTGAAATAAGTAAACTGAGATAGAGAGCTAAATATTTTCTCCATATCACAAGTTTAAGGCTTTGTGGCTAATCAACACTAAGTGTTCACCAAATTTTCCCCATTATACTCACTCAAATAAAAACTTCGACTTCGTGAATTATTTTACCTGAAACTGTCATGTTCTGTCACCAATGAATTATCTCAAGCTTACTGGACTGACCGCGACAGCGATCACGAAATATTCATGGCGTTTCTGCTGGTCAGCAGGGTTCATCCTAGCTTTTTTTCAAAAACAAGGTTGGATATCCACGCTGGCTTTCGACAGCAATGCAAGTACAAGAGACAAGATCTGCGAACCTAAACTGAAAATATACAGCCTCGGGAATTTAGACCTCTAGTATTAATGACAGGTATCCCAGCAAATTAACTCGCAATCTAAAGGAAATCTGATATGTACTAGCAGAAATTCTAGTTTACGACATTCAGGTGTGTGGACCAAACCGTGTCCACCCGAGTGAGATATTGCTTCACTGTCGAATAACGCCAAAAATTATCACTAACTGTTGTGATCCCAAGTCGAACAAAATACTGGTCAAAAACACAGAGACTGTCAAGGGGCATCACCTTCTGGAACTGGTCATGGATAGTCCCTTGTTCGCATATAACAACCCTAGAGCTGTCTTAAGCAGTTAGTTGGTTCCGTCGGTCTCACAAGTTGCAAAATAATTTCATTTTCGCCCATCAAGTTAACCTTGTAAAAAGGACTGGATTGCTCATTTTAATCCGAAAACCTACTAGGTTGGCACGCCAAATCATATTCTCTCACCGTATCATTGCAAATGCTTTTCATTCCTTCCTGGTTAGCCGCCACCAAAAAGAGACTAAACTCAACCACAATTAGGCCAAATACTCTAGAACTTTACGCTAGGTTGGTGGCCTCAGCTTAGAATAAAATTCGTCGGAAATCAGATACCGCAGTCGATGCCCTGGAAGCCATTCAACCAGCATAACTTAGTGGCCTCCTAGAACCGCAGTCATGATCTATGCTGACTTAGCCACTTTCTACTCATAAACATCCTACAGTGCTTCCTTCGCTATACCAACATGTTTCCTGCTGCCAACTACACATTAGCTAATCAATGGTGAGCCAACAGCAAATGCTTGTGCTGCCACTTCTACATTCATTCATACATCCACCGGTTAAAACTTCCAGAAGCTAACTGGATGAAATCATACAGAATGACAGTATCAAAAGGCCACTGGTGGATAGAAACACTCACGAAACAGGAAGAGACCTGTACGAGTCCTGATTCATTCCCATTATTTGCGAGGATTCATTATGTAACTGTCGCAAGCTTAATTCTAGTGTTTATTTTGTATTTGCACATGCCATTTTCATATCACTACCGTACACTGGGTAACTCAAATTGGATCTTATCACCTCAATTTCACTCAATGTGAGCTGGCTTTCGAAATCATAACGAATTACATTCATATAAACGCATGAGTTATCGGAACATGCAAACATGGGAAAGTATGTTGCGTTCATGTAAACACAACTGAGTAGAACTTCGGCTTCAGATAGACAAGAAAGGTCACAAAAACAACACCTGAACATAAGCTTGCAGCGGTAAATGATTCCCCAAAATTATTGACCATAAGAATCATCACTCAACATTGGATGCTGACCAACACTGTTTAAGTCGACTTGTTTGGCTGAAGGCTTCCGGTCAAGCATCCCCGCCATTTGGTACTCCGTCGTGTCACGTTCGTGCACGATCATTAGCCAGCTAAGCGTTCGTCTAACAACTCGTTTTGGTCCCGAAATATATCGTGTAATTTGAATGATCAAATACCGTCTTTTACTTTGCCTTTGGTACGCGAGATTGAAATATATTGGAAGTTGTCGGTATAAGAACTTGCGTTAATATACCTTTGTACTGTTCGCGAACGTCTATACCGTCAACCTATAAAAGCTCCTCACCACAGACGGTTTCTTCTCTGAATGCTTTACTAGACATGTGAGATGCAATCCATGCTCATAAACAGCTTTCATCAAGAAATTAGTTTTGTGCTTATCATGTCTAATGATCTCAGTCCTTAATAGTAGAACTGTATTTATTTGAATTTTAGCTTTTCATAAAACATATCAAGTACCTCATTAACCGTGTTATCAAGCTTACCTTCAAAATGTTTGGCATTCATTATGAATATATCATATTGATTATACTGTTCCCAGGATCTCATCGGCCAAAATAGTTACATCTGTATTTCAATCCAACCATGTGTACAAAAGTCGAGCTTTGTGCTGGATACTGAATGCCTCGACGAAAAATTAACTGATCAACTGATTCAGCACTAGTGGCTTCGCCACTGATAAACGCTATCATGGATATTATCATACTGAAACAATCACGATTCATAGTAGCCACCTCGCACAAAACGGACGACCATGTATTCTGAAAGTGTTGATGACATCAGTGATACTGTCATCCGATAGCATCTGTCAGTCAAGTCTCATAAACCGTTAATGCCCAGCTCTCGCTACGCTCGGGCCCACGCTGTTCCTTGCAGTATTTCAGAAACGCTTAGTAATAACGGACGCAAAAACCAAAACACCGATCTGCTGCTTGTTATTTCTTTATTGTTACACCAACATATAAAAGGAATAAACGAACTAAGCAAACTAAGGTCTGAAAACTAATATTACAATAATAAATCATTGTTACTTCTGACGATATTTTACTCTTCTTTCTGAACAGCGACCGATGAGACGATGACTGTCGTATTGATGCCTCCGCGAAAATCGGGGAAGTTGATTTTGAGCAAACAACCAAGAATTGATCGTTCAATCTTCAACTCCATTGACACTCCCCGGCAAAAAAGGGATCCAACCCTTTTTTCCTTCACGACCAATGCACGTTGACTTGGATGCCATTGCGAGAACCTGGGTCACACGGACAGAGCTGAAATGGAAAACAAACAGAAAAGCCAACACACCACAAGCATACCCACAGCACAATCTCACACATCAATGACGACCTGCGCCTCCAGACAGAGACCTCCTCTTGACATCTTGCAACACAATCGCCACTTGCTAGAATGACTCTTGCAGAATGCAAAGTGACCATGGCAGCACCTCACGATACTCTACGCACATCCTCTTAATTACTCACTACCAATTACCATTGAAATCGCTTGTCACTCATTCTGCCTCAGTTCTAGTAGCGGTGACGCATGCGAGCCTCAGTCGTTTACACTCTTTCTCCCCGGCGTGTCGGACCGCAGCTAACAATTATCTCCGTGTGCATTTCATTCTCAGCAATAGCCTAGCCTCCCCGGCGTATACGACCCATCTGCTGTCTTTAACATCAATCAATTCATTCACGGATGTAGAAGACTCGAAACAACTTCAGAAGTAATCACGACGAAAATTTTAACAAAATTATGCAATAACAACAAGGTACGAAAACAACGAGTAAACACAATGAATCCAAATAACACCAATTGATATGACACACCACACGTATATACAAACAGTACACACAAACTCGCATTTCATGTCTTGATGGAATACCTTTGAAGAATTGCAGGACTTACACCAGTACGCCTACAACCCTTCACAGGTTGACGATTGTAAGTTGTGGAATGTCCAGACACAAACAAGATTAACCAACAATTACATCAATTGGAACTCACACAACTATTTAACACAAACATATGTACAATCAACACATCAAATGTTGTGGATTCTGACACGACAAACTACCCTTGAAGAACTGTAGGACTTACAGCAGTACGCCTACATTCCTTCTCAGGTTGATGATCCAAGTGGAAGTCGTCCGGACACAAACAGAATTACCAACAGCTAGATGACAGATGATATCAATTCAGTATATACAATATGAACATATGTACAAGATCATACACCAAGCACATTGGACTGCTCATTGATGCGCTACCCTTTGAAGAATTGTAGGACTTACAGCAGTACGCCTACAACCCTT